AGTGACATTGTTATCGATTTTTTTTGTTATTGTTCGTTTAGAAAGAGATACATTTATTGTTGTTTTTTATACTATTGGAGTTTTCTAAACTAAACGACTGTGTGTAATGAATTCATATTGTAAACCAGAATGGATAATCGTCAATTCTTTAATCATATAATTAAGAATATTGACGATGTTTTTGGTAAGTTTTAGGCAGAGATGACAAATAACAAATGAGTTATTTGAGTTATGATTATAGGCGATACTTTACAGGAAATTTTAATTTTACAATAGCGTTTTTAAATTTATGACCTAATTTCAATTTGAATCACGTGATTTGTGAGTCAGTGTAAATATAATTGGCTAGTGTATGAATTGTTGTATTGACACAATTACTGATTGTTTTTGCGCGCAAATAGTGCCAACTATTGACTCATGGGAAAATTTAAATATATGGACCCATTTTATTAGCAGCTGAAGCTTTATAACTCGGAAATTAAAGCCTACAAAATGGGGAGTACGACCCTTATGTAGCGTTCCGACCATTATTTATCTGCATCTACCTTTAAATGATTCTGACATTTGTATACCCTACACAACTATGTTTTCAGGGTATTATAGCTTTGTGCAGCCCCAAGTGTTTGTAACGCCGCGAAATATTGGTCGTAGACCCACCTTTAAGTATACCGATCGTCATATCTCGACTAGCTGAGTCGATCTAGACATGTGTGTCTGTCCATCCGTCCGTCAGTCCATTATAATTTGTAAACACGATACAGGCCACAGTTATGGACCAATCTTCACGAAATTTTGCACGTAGGAAGGGTTCGGCCCAATGAAGACCCCTATCCGTCCGTCTATCCATTATAATTTGTAAACACGATGCAGGCCACAGTTATGGACCAATCTTCACGAAATTTTGCACGTAGGAAGGGTTCGGCCCAATGAAGACCCCTATTGTTTTTGGTAAAGGTCGGTTAATATTTAAGGGATGAAATGGACCAAATACTTAATTTTTGATAAAGATCGGTCAATATTTAGCGGGTCAAATGGAACCTGACTTTTGTGTGAAAAATTAAAAAAAATATATAGAGCCGAGAAGTTGATAGTATATCCAAGAGGAGTGGTTGGCCTTTAAATTGATATTGTCGTATGTACCCGGATGTGGGAATTACTCGTAAATATTTACAGGTGCTTACGTATTCAGATATTATTTGATAAATTATTACCACACTAGAGGGCGGAAATATAGCGCTGATCGCTTTGAAATGTTCCATGAGGTTCCAGTTATGGTCCAGGACAACGCCTATAATTTTCGTTGATGATCAGATAATAATTTTTTGATGAAGAGGACCGGACTTATTTTTTTTACATCACAACCCAACCCACGGTGAAGGGAATCTGTGTAAGTAATTAGAAGGGTTGGGTTAGTAAAATATTTCAGTATATGGAGGAGGTGCTATTGACCTCTAATCGGGCAAGAGGGCGCAACTATCACGAATCATTACCCAGGCTCGGAATAAAAATCTGCAGAATGATAGAGTTCTGTGGTAGTTGTGTAGGGTATCGTATGGTCGGCCCTGTCCAACTATACTGCTCCGCTCAGTGGTTAAGCTTGAATTTGATTTTTGTTTTTTTTTTTTAATTTTTCTTCTATTTTTAATCCACAATTAGAAATTTCTAATTATCACTTATAGGATTGTTGTAATCGAGAATCTGAGTAATTTCATACATATTGTGTCTAGTTTTTCGGCGAAATTTTATATAGAATTATATATGGCGGATACATATAAAACTGAAAATATTTGAACAAACTCATCATTCTAGCAATGAGTCGGTAGACCATTAAAAATTCCGTGGCAATGAAAAGATATATCCCAATCTAGACCGATTTGAACAATAGGTTAATAAGACTACGAAGCCTTGTTCAAAGCTTATAAAATAAAAAATGAGGTTATAAAAGAAAAAGTGTTCTAAATCTGAACCGATTTCAGGAAACGTAACACACATCATCCTAGACCTAGTTCATTACACTGTGCCAAATTTCGTGCAAATCGAAAGATATATAGGGACTTTGGTGCACCAAATGCATTAAATCGGGCTATATAGGAGCTATATCTAAATCTGAACATATTTTCAGGAAACTTAACACACATCATTCTAGAGCTAATTCATTACGCTGTGCTAAATTTCGTGCAAATCGATAGATATATAGGGACTTTGGTGGACCACTTACATTAAATCGGACGAAAATATATATGGGAGCTATATCTAAATCTGAACCGATTTTCTGGTAATTTAACACAGATTATTATAGACCTAATTCATAATGCTGTGCCAATTTTCGTGCAAATCGAGAGATATATAGGGACTTTTGTGCACCATTTACAATAAATCGGACTGTAATATATATGGGAGCTATATCTAAAACTGAATCGATTTTATCTAAAACTGAATCGATTTTCAGGAAACTTAACAAATTTTGTGCAAATCGAATGATATATAGGGACTTTGGTGCACCAAATACATTAAATCGGACGAAAATATATTTGGGAGCTATATCTAAATCTGAACCGATTTTCAGGAAACTTAACACACATCATTCTATATCTAATTCATTACGCTGTGCCAAATTTCGTGCAAATCGAAAGATATATAGGGACTTTGGTGCACCTTAAATCGGACGAAATATATATGGGAGCGATATCTAAATCTCAACCGATTTTTAGGAAACTTAACACACATTATTCTAGACCTAATTCATTAAGCTGTGCCAAATTTCGTGCAAATATAAAGATATATAGGGATTTTGATGCACCATTTACATTAAATCGGACGAAAATATATATGGGAGCTATATCTAAATCTGAACCGATTTTCAGGAAACTTAACACACGTCATTCTAGACCTAATTCATTGCGATGTGCCAAATTTTGTGCAAATCGAAAGATATATGGGGACTTTGGTGCACCTTAAATTGGACGAAAATATATATGGGCGCTATATCTAAATCTGAACCGTTTTTTTCCAATTTCAATAGGGTTCGTCCTTGGGCCAAATAAGTGAACTGTGTCAAAGTTCATCGAAATCGGATCATAAATGCGACCTGTACTTTGTTCACAAAAATACATGGACGGACAGACGGACATGCGTAAACCGACTCAGAAAGTGATTCTATGCATATTCCTGAAAGGAGCCATGTGCCTATCTCATTTCCTTTTGCCTGTTACAAACATATGCACAATGACATAATACCCTGTACCACAGTGTGGTGAAGGATATAAAAATGGCCGCTGTTCTCGATCCACCCTATTAAATTTTTACGTTTTTCTTGCAGAATCGTAGTCAGTGTCCTCGAAAGCCTTGTATGTGTTATTTATATATGTCATAAACCCACCTCTGTAATTATTTGCAAAAAATGGTAACCCTGGCCTTGGTGAGCGGAGCGGTATAGTCAAATGGGGCCAACCATAATACTCTACACAGCTACAACGAAATTCTATATTTCGGCTGATCTATATTCTGAGCCTGGCAATATTTCGTGATATTTGCACCCTCTTAACCGATTAAAAGTCAAAAGCTTCTGTTTCTTATGGCATATTTTCCAAATCTTGTTTTTCTGTAGTGGGCTATAGGGCGACGTGAAAAAACATTAACAAATTTAATTTTCGGTCAATTGACAATTATAATCGGCGAAAAAACGGGGCCAAATCACCCCAGAAAAACAAGATTCGGAAAATATGCCAGGATAAGAAAGAGGAGCTTTTGACTTTTATTGATTGACCGACCGAAATTTAAACTTTCATAAATATAATATGATCATCAGCGAAGCTTCGTTGACCATGATCAGACCTTCATGTAAAATTTTATAGCGATCAGTGAGACATTTCCGTCCTTTAGTGTGGTAATGGTAATACTAAACAATATAAGAATTCGTAGACACCTGTAATATTTACGTATAAAGTCCCGGTAAATATTGACCGATCTTTATGAAAAAAATCATTTTTATTCCTTGGTCCCCTTCTCCGTGTAAAACTTCGTAATGTTCTGGTCATAATTATGATCTCCAGAACATGCAGAAAAATCATTAGATCAGTATACTAACCTCTTGGACAAATGTTTTGCGGCGTTACAAACTCAGTTGGCCATACAAAGTTATAGTACCCCTACAACATAGTTGTGTATGGTATAAAAAATGCCCATAGTTCTTGAAGAAGTTAGGATTAATATTTCGTTATTTATTTTTCTAATCAATTTGTTGGCTTTATGGTGTGAATGGCACCTGGCTTTTTAATGCAGCACCTTTATTATTTTTTGTGTAAATGTGTTTTTGATGAAAGTTTATATGTGCAATTTTTTTCTATTGTAAATAAGAATTTTAATTAATTGTTTAATTTTTTGGTATTTCAAAAATTTACGAACTATCATTTTATTTTAATATTTTCCATTTATAGGGTCGCAATAAGTGTTCTCTTCTTTTATTGTTGTTCGTTCTCTTCAGTTTTCTTTGTAAATATTAAAAAAATATTTGTTATAATATGTGATGACAATAGCTGGCGTTGTGTGTATTAAAAGTTAATTTAAATCAACAATTAAACAACAAGAACAAAAATCTCAAAATGAATCCTTTATCTGCACTTCTCTGCATTCTCCTCTTCTTTTGTCTTCTTTTCACAACAAAAACTTCAATTGCAACACTTGTAACCTGTTCGTCCGATCGTCCAAAACCACAAAAATGCAAAACCAAAAACAAAACCGTTATTTATTATGGCCCATCCCCCACCTTAGTACCCGACGATTTGCACAGTTCGAGGCGTGTGTTGCAGGATGGCGATATTCAACGTACCCTGGATCGTTGTTTTAGTGTGATACAGGAATCGAGCAAGGTGTGGAGTGGTGCTACGGCATCCGCCTTGGCCCAGAAGAAACCATTGTCGGAAAATAATTCCCTACAACTTGCCGTAACGGGATATTTGAGTCGTTTCCTTAAACCTTCGGTATATGAGAAAATAAAGAAACGCCAGACACGCTTGGATCATAATCTCTTCGATGTCATCTGGCCGGCACTGAGGAAGACTTCGAAAGAACGACATTTGGAGGAGGATATTAATTGTGGTATAATAGCACCTGACTTCGATGTCTATGTGGTGTATCAGGAATTTTTGGTGCCATTGATTAAGGATATGCACTGCATGTCTGTCACCTCCGATTTTAAGCCACATCCTCGCATTGCCTATTTCCCAATGCAGAATGGTGAACGTCTGAACACAGCCTATTTTGTATTTGAAGATGATTCCAATTTGGTGGTCCGTTGTCTGGTTGAATGTTCTAGAAATTTAGATACCTTTGAGCTACCACTGAACTTGACCATTGGGCAAATTGAACAGGCGGAACGTCTGATGATGGCTAAAATATTTACCAATGAATTTATAGAGGCCATTGATGAAGAGGAACCGGGTAGTTATTATACCCTAACAGAAGTCCTTGAAGATAATTCCGAGGTTTACGATATGCTCAACTCACATGGACTTCTCATACCTTTGCTCGATCAAAAAGATGAAGTTCAGCAAGCGGAATCGATTGCCTTTAATGGCTCCTTGTGGCCATATGGTCGTGGTGTCTATGTCAGTGCCTCCAACAATATGGCCTTGTGGTTAAATTGCCAAGAACATTTACGCATAATATCCACCACCACATCCAAAGATGCTGCTGATATTGGTTCAGTCTATACCCGAGTTGGACGATGTATATCATTTCTCGAGCAGCAATTGCACTTCAAAGAAAGCTATCTACTTGGCTATTTACAATCTCGACCATCCTATTTGGGTACCGGCCTAAAAATGACCACAATTGTCCGTTTGCCAAATCTCATGAAAGAAATGGACAATTTACGTCATCTATGCTCCGTACGAGGGCTGGCCCTCACCACCAATCGTCAATCGAAATTGAGTGTACGCCTGATAAATATGCAGTCTATGGGTTCCGTGGAACACATACTCTTCCAGGATTTTTGTACGGCTGTAACGAACATCCTGTCGCTGGAAAAGGATATGTCGCTGACAAATTCCAAACACATTGCCTCAATGTTGGTGAAAATATTTCGTCGTAAGAAAAATAGTTTAGCTGATCGCCACTAAATGCCAATTGATTTGATGTGATGACCACCTACTCTCCCCAATCCCCATAAAAATTTGCTTAAACAACTCCATCCCCACATTAACTCTGAAGCCAAAATAAAAAAGAGATGTGTAAATACAACTAAAATAAAACCATCACTCAAAAAAGAAAACTGTATTATACAATTAAATGAAAAGAAAAAACTGTGTCCTCTATTATCTCCCTGCTTTTTGTTCCTGATTTTTTTGTTGTCAACAAAAGCAAAAAACCACAAAACCTACCAAAAATTTCATATGGATTCGTAAGTTTCATTTTTCAATTTCTTCTTTTAAATATTTGATGTTCGTTTCGTTTTTTTTGATTTCATGTCTTGTCTAAAAGATTTCCTTTTGAGTTGCTTTTACATAATTATGTAGATCATTTTTATTTCCTACTGTCCGTACATATATTTTCAAAATGCACATTTATGAGATAATATATATTAAGTCGAAGATGATGTATAAATATTATATCCTTACTTTAAATAGTATATCCTAAATAAAAATCCTTTTTCCGACGTCGTAGGTCAGCTCTTTGTGGGATCTGAGAAAATTTTGATTTATGCTAGCTCATACCATACCTACGAACATATGGAATTTCGTTAGTGACAAAGCCTCTTCTAAAATTGTTTCGGTCCCGTTCAATATGGAGAAACAAAATAAGCATTTACGGCATGTTATGCTTCATTGCTTAAAAAAAGCAATAGTACAAAGCACACTGCAGTCAGGATTTGCACCGTTTGTACGACGACCATTAGGACCGTCCGCAATTGGTTTGAGAAATTTAGAGCCTGCAATTTTGATTTGCAAGACGAAGACTGGCGAACCGACGAAGAGTCGTTTTCCATCACGACAACGCAAGACCACATGTTACAATGGTCGTGAGACAAAAATATTACAGTTGGATTGGGACGTTAAACCTCATCCTCCGTACTCCGCAGACATTGCTCCTTCCGATTATTACTTGTTCCTCTCTTTAAAAAATTCTCTCGGTGATAAATCATTCAAATCCATAAGCGAAATCCTATTAATTCAAGGGGTTTTTTTTTAATTTTTTGTACTTTATATCTAATATTGTTCTCAAAATATATATGTACTATAAGATGGGGAAAGGAACGAAAGAAAGAGGTTTCGGGGGACACTCTTAAATTAATTTTGTGTCAAACAAAAAGTTTTTTTTGAATGGAAATTTTTCATATTGAAAATGTGGACACGACCAAAATGAAATCCTATAAAAGACCTGATTAATTAAAAAGAGCGGTGGTTCTAGTCTGTAGTAATCCTGCAGGTCTTTCTATAAACGACCAGACCAGATAAACGACCTTCGACTATAAAATATATTATGTCTTATTTGTGTGTAACATGCTGTAGGAAAAAAGCTAGACCTCCTGTTACTTTTGAGGACACTTATAGATTCACTTTTTGGAATAGATTAAGTATGACCAGACGACCGTATATTATATTTTTGAAAACAGGGTGATCAGTGATGTATAGAGACTTAAATTAGGTATGCCAAGTTTTTTATACCGCCTATCACAAGGTGGAGTGAATATTAAATTTGTCATTTCATTTGTAGCACATCGAAATATTCACCTGAGACCGAGCAAGTCTATATATTCCTGATAGAAATAAAATTCAGTACCAATTTAGCTATGTCCGTCTATATCTTGATAGAGCAACATTTAAGATAGATCTTTAAAAACTTGGACATATATCACAACAACTCCTCAGATGTTTAGTATTTTAGGTTAGTCCCCATATAACGGTATTCTCCAATATATGACATTTTGAAGCTTCTATGCAGATTTTTAATGTTCCCAACTGTAGTTTGGTATTTTGGTTTCTCACTTGGAAGACAATAGTTTTACTAAAATAGGGTAGCCCCCATATAAGGCTGCTTTCCAAATTTTGGCCTTTTCGGGAGTTTTGACAAAAAACTTATTTCCAGAAATTATTCAGTATACAAATGCCTTGTCGCATACGAATGATCCGTTTAATTTTTTGCAAATGGTGTTCTTATCCCAGTTTTCTAACCAGAGTGTCTGTTATTTGGAACAGTATTTTTTCAGAAGACGAACAGCCTGCAACCATATAATGCAATATCATAGTCCTCATATGAAGGTCCCGACTGTTTTAAGAAAGTTCGGTCGATCATAAAAACGATATTATTTGTTTTTAAATCCGCCCAGATTTTTATATAGCACTTATATATAATATATAGAAAACCAGTAGGCCTATTCTGTAACGTTTTACCAACATTCGATATTGTTTATTTTACAACTATTTCATTTGTTTGTTTTATTGTTTTTAGAATAACAAAAGAAGTTTAAACAATATCGAATGCTTTTAAAAGCTACCGAATAGGCTTACAGAATGTCTTTTCTGATAGCAGGCAACCAAAAGGTATTCTCACATTAAAATTGGGAGAGCTCTTGCTTTCAAATATTAACAGTTATTTATTTTAATTCAATAGTGATCCGTTTCTTTTTGTGGTCTTTTTCGGAAGAAGACAAGAAGGATTTCTTCTATAAAATACAGAGATAACTTATTCTTTGTAAGACAAGGAGGAGACATTTTAAGAGAAGGAAAATAAAGGATCTCCCATAATTTAATATGGTTATGCTTTAGATATTTACGAAATGACCTTGATATTTTAATATATCGGTCCACGTTTTGATATCTGCCCCATATAAAGGTACCGTGTAAATGCAACCATTCTAAATATAGACATAGCATCGATATAAATGTCCGCCTAATTTACACATTTTGAATGTTTTTACACATTTTGAAAGATCGTTTCAAAACGAAGTGGATGTAACATGCATTCCGTGGGTACAATATCTCCTAACATTTTTAATATATGTTATTTGTGGCGGATGGTATGCAAATTTCGACCTGGAACTTAACGATATTAAAAAAAATTGTAAACTCGTAAAGAATGAGCTTATGTATGGAACAAGATATCATGCAGATGGCCGATTTTCCCGATACATACGCACCCTTTTATTGAAATTTTCAATGACCGTTTTGCATAAATGTTGCGATATTTAATTTATTCAGCGTCAAACTTTCTTTTTCTGTCTTGAGTCATCATCGACTTATTCGCGTAAACCTTTGACTTTAAAAACCCCCGAAGAAAAAATTCGAAATGTGTTAAATCGATCTGGGCGGTCAATTTTGATCTCCAAAGCGTGAAATAATACAACCGGGAAATGACAGATGCAGCAATTGGATTGTTTATCTAACTCTATGATATGTGACGTCGTCTTGTTGAATCTATACAAAATCCATTATCACTGAAGATCGGCAAAATCGGATCGGATTTTATCGGCAAAATCAGCATTTTCATGTTATCTCTGCAATAACCAATTAATCAACTCTATTCGCTGTCCATAGCCATTTAACCTAACTTCGTATTAGCAAAAAATAACAATATTTCAAATAATCACACTTCGAATGGAGGCAACTTTAAAATTGCGTTCTAGTTGGGACACCCTTTATATGAATCCCAATGTTGGATATCAATTTCTATAAGAAATAAATTCATACTATCCTACTACACTCAGGCGTATGATAGTATGAAGGATATGGTTACTGGAAACCAGATAGGTATAAACTTTCATATAACCTGCAAGTGTCTGGTACCGTTATTTTAGAAAAAAAACTTCAAATATTTCCTTTTTAAAAAATTTAACAAAAAATACTGAATTTGCCATAAAAATTATAGGCGATTAAAATAGATGTTAAACCAGTAAGGAAAGTAGTAAAGTCGGACGGGGCCGACTATATGATACCCTTCACCACTTTGAGCATATTCAACAGATGAAATAGAAGCTATATCTAAATCTGAACCGATTTCAACGATTTCAGGAAACTTAACACACATCATTCCAGACCTCATCCATAACGCAGTGCCAAATTTCGTGCAAATCGAAAGATATATAGGGACTTTGGTAGACCATTTACATTAAATCGGACGAAAATATATATAGGAGCTATATCTAAATCTGAACCGATTTTCAGGAAACTTAACACACACCATTCTATAACTAATTCATTACGCTGTGCCAACTTTGGTGCAAATCGAAAGATATATAGGGACATTGGTGCACCATTCAGATTAAATCGGATGAAAATATATATGGGAGCTATATCTAAATCTGGACCGATTTTCAGGAAACTTAACACACACCATTATATTCCTAATTGATTACGATGTGCCAAATTTCGTGCAAATCGAAAGATATATAGGGACTTTGGTGCACCATTTAAATTAAATCGGACGAAAATATATATGGGAGCTATATCTAAATCTGAACCGATTTTCAGGAAACTTAACACACATCATTCTATACCTAATTCAGTACGCTATGCCAAATTTCGTGGAAATCGAAAGATATATAGGTACTTTGGTGCCACGTTTACCTTAAATCGGACGAAAATATATATGGGAGCTATATCTAAATCTGAACCGATTTTCACGAAACTCAGCACACACCATTATGGACCTAATTCAGTACACTATGCCAAATTTCGTGCAAATCGAATGATATATAGGTACTTTGGTGCCTATATCGGGCGAAAATATATATGGGAGCTATATCTAAATCTGACCCGATTTTCACGAAACTCAGCACACATCATTTTGGACCTCATTCAGTACGCTATGCCAAATTTCGTGCAAATCGAATGATATATAGGTACTTTGGTGCCTATATCGGGTGAAAATATATATGGGAGCTATATCTAAATCTGAACCGATTTTTCCCAATTTCAATAGGGTTCGTCATTGGGCCAAATAAGTGACCTATGCCAAATTTCATCCAAATCGGATCAAAAATGCGACCTGTACTTTGTTCACAAAAATACATGGACGGACAGACGGACGGACGGACAGACGGACGGACAGACGGACATGCGTAAATCGACTCAGAAAGTGATTCTATGCATATTCTCAAAAGGAACCATGTGCCTATCTCGTTTCCTTTTGCCTGTTACAAACATATGCACAAAGACATAATACCCTGTACCACAGTGTGGTGAAGGGTATAAAAAGGGGGATTTCAGTTACAATCTGTTAGTATTTTCAATTTTTTTTTATTAAAAATAATAACTAAATCCAGTATACACATTAAACTATGTTTTTGTAGGATTATCAGCTTCTTAATGCTTTATTAGTTGCATTAATTTGTAGTGTTAAAGATATTATGAAACCCCATTTTTTGATAATTTTTATTAAATGTCTTCTCTTATTTTAGGTAAAATAGAAAATCACAGCTGTGAAGAAAATCCCATATTTAAAACAGAGCAAGGCAAATATTTAGCAGAAAGTGAGTAAAAAATATATCAAATGTTATTGGTATAATAGTTTTTATGAGTTTACCCGGCACATATAAAGCCGAATCGGTAAATATTTAAAAATTCTAATTTTTTAATCACGATTTCTTCAACAGACCTAGCAGATCCCTTGATCAAAGCTTTAACACAAGTTGCACAAAAACGCCCACAAGATCCCCTACAATATTTGACAAATTACCTGCAAACATTTGTGGCACAGCGTAATACAAACGGACGCACAGTAGTACAGGCGGCTATCCATTCAGGCAGTAGTCACACCGATTCAACAGCCCTGGCGGTCAATTCAGAAAATGATTCCCCCGAAGAAAAACAAATTATTCCAACATCGCGAATGAATGGTCACGTGACGCACGATAAATCAGAGGATATAGAAACCGAACAACAACTTGACGATGATGATACTGATGAAGCTGAAGCTGCATTATCCAAACGTCTAGAAGAACGAGATGAACATGGCCAGAGTATGTTACATTTTGCCAGTGCTCGATCACATCGTCGTGGTGGTCTGCTACAATTAATTGAGGAATCGAAAGTCGATATAACATATCGTGATGAGTTGTATCGAACGGCTCGAGATGTTGCATTGCAGGCGAATCAAGTCGTCAATGCCAAGGATATTGATCGTTATTTGATATCGTTGGCAGTTGTTGGTAGGAATTTGAAAGGGATTATTTGTGGAATATGTATTTTTCTAATGGGGTTTTTATGGTTTTTTGTTTCTGTGATTAGGTGATGTAAAACCCTTCGAGTATTTTGCCATTGCCGGATATGATCACATCATTGACGTTATGGATGATGACAAGACAATTATTGAAGTAGCCGAGACGAAGGGTCACACGGAATTGGCAACTTACTTACGTACAATACGTCCTATGGAGGTAAGGGATTTCGATTTAATTATTTTTGTCATAGAAAAGGAATGCAAGAAAAAAAATTGTTTAAATTTTTAATCGATAATGTTTTATTTAATAAATTGTTATTATCCCATAGGAAATGCGCGAAGAACTTCATCAAATGATTCGTGATCATAAAGTGGATCGAGTTAAAGAAATTGTGGCTGGACCAGAAGGCAAATGGTTATTAATGGCTAGAAATTATTATGGTAAGAATACTTTACAGCTGGATTCGGAAGTAAAAAATCTACTATTCCACAAGATTCAGATTTATACCCACTATGTTGTATTAAGTTTGGGTGTAGACGAAATCCTCAGAACTTGGTGATGTTAGGTTAATGGACCAAAAATCTTAGGCAGCAAACAAGATCTGGGCAAGGATTAACCCTGGATAGGTCAATAATCAGCGTCAATGATGAAGTTCGTTAAAAAAGTCAGTAAGGAAAGTAGTAAAGTCGGACTGGACGGACTAACATCAATCCGAACATATGCCATCCTGCAATTTATGTTAAATTTCATTTCATTCGGGCAGATTTGGAGTTGTTTGCGCACAATGGGACAAATTTATGTAAATCGATTTAAAGCAAACTTGATAAACGCTATTTGGTATGCCGTGCTGTATCGCAATCACACAACCGTTCGAAATATATGCTATGTCTGCATCTGCACCAAAACGCAACAACGTCATTCTAGTCTCAATTTGATACGTTGTGCAAAATTTCGTGTCAATCGGACAAACATAGGAGTTTGGTGCACCATTTACATTTATTCGGACGAAAATATATATGAGAGCTATATCTAAATCTTAACCGATTTTCACGAAACATAACAACCATCATCCTAGACTTAATTCTACAATTCTATTTACATAAAATCGGACGAAACTATATATGGGAGCTATATGTAAATCTGAACCGATTTCAACAAAACTTCGCATGCATTTATCAGTGCCTAATTCAGTACTCTGTGCAAAATGTTGTCTCAGTCGGACCAATATTGGTAGTTTAGTCGATAATATACATAAAATCGAATGGAACTATACATGGTAGCTATATCTGAGCCTATTTTCTCCCATTTCAATAGAGTTCGTCCTTGGACCAAATAAGTGACCTGCGCCAAATTTCATCCAAATAAATAAACGCGACCTGTACTTTATTCACAAAAATACATGGTCGGACGGACGGTCAGACGGGCATGCATAAATCGACTCCGAAAGTGATTCTATGCATATTCTCAAAAGGAACCATGTACCTATCTCGATTCATTTTGACTGTTACAAACATATACACAATGACATAATACCCTGTACCACAGTGTGGTGAAGGTTATACAAAACGGTAGTTGTGTCACAGAACATTGAATTTTAAAGAAAAGTTTCAGTAGAATTCCGCTCATGGATTTGATTTTTATGCCGAACACAACTATGTTGTCAGGTTATTCTAGCTTTGTGCAGCCCCAAGAGTTTGTAACGCCGCGAAATATTGGTCCTAAACCCACCTTTAAGTATACGGATCGTCATATCTCGACTAGCTGAGTCGATCTAGACATGTGTGTCCGTCCGTCCGCCCGTCTGTCCATTATAATTGTAAACACGATACAGGCAACAGTTATGGGCCAATCTTCACGAAATTTTGAACATTTATTAAGGGTTCGGCCCAATTAAGATCCCTATTTTTTTGGTAAAGATCGGTTAATATTTAGGGGATGAAATGGAACAAATACTTAAACATCTAGAATTTTTACATGGAGAAGGGGACTGGGCCAAAGAATAAGCATGCCTTTTTTGATAACGATCGGTCAATATTTAGCGGGTTAAATGGACCCTTACTTTTGTGTGAAAAATTACAAAATTTGTATTCTGGGGCGTATATACTTGCTCCTGAAGGACATATTCCCGAGAAGTTGATAGTATATCCAAGAGGAGTGGTTGACCTTCAAATTGATACCAATTATATGGATGTATGTGCTCTGATGTGGGAATTACACGTAAATATTTACAGGTGCTTACGTATTCAGATATTTTTTATTAAACCATTACCACACTAGAAATATATCGCGGATCGCTTTGAAATCTTCCATGAGGTTCCAGTTATGGTCAAGGACAACGCCTATAATTTTCGTTGATGATCAGATAATAATTTTTGGATGAAATCGACCGAAAACTTATTTCTTTTTTTTTTTTTTGATTCTACAATTATAAGCCGAATATCACAACATAACCACGGTGGGGGGAATCTGGATAAGTAATTACAAGGGTTGTACTGAACATTAGTAATATTCGGAAAATATGTCAGTGTATGGAAGAGGTGCTATTGACCTCTAATCGGGAAAGAGGTTGCAACTATCTCGAAATAGTTGTGGTAGTTGTGTAGGGTATCGTATGGTCGGCCCCGTCCGACTATACTGTTCCGCTCACTGGGTTTCTTTTGTTTCTGATGTACACTTTCTTATTTTGTTTCAATTGTAAACTATTCCCTTAATTTTCTTTACAACAGGAAGAACAGCCCTCCATATAGCCATATTAAAAGAAGACGAAGAACTGGTGGAACATTTCGTCAAAATCTGTCCGGAGGCTTTAAAGATTGGTGATAATGTAAGCATATAGTATTTTACAATATTTCTTAAATTTCCTCGATGTAATAATAATTTTTAAACTCTTCTCCAAATAGTTGGAACGTTCACCCCTACACTATGCCATGGGTACGAATTTGGTCGAAAGCATTAGTCGAATACTGATACAAAATGGAGCTAAGCGTACAAATAAGGATTTAAAGGGTCGTCAACCGAGTTATTATTTTATGAACAAAGCTGATATTTTGCGTTTGCAAGAGGAGGAGGATGAAAGTCGTTAACGTGCATCAGAAAAGTTTACAGTCACATATTCACATATTCATACAGTCACATTTTATTTTTATTTTTTAATATAAATGTTCGTCTTAAACAGCACCTTGTATTGTTGCCTAATAATTTTGTCATTAAATACTGAATTAATGAATTTTAATTATATATACAAATAAGTATTATGTTTAAGATTAAAACAAATTGTAGTGTCAAATGTTTAGTCAGTAAGAAAACGATAATAGTTAAGTGCACATATATATGTAAATCTGTCATGGTTTCTTTAAGGTTTTATTCTCAAATCAAGTGCCTTATCAAAGAATTGAATGAAAAAAATGTGGCAACTTTTAAGCACACCTCAAATAATAATTAAGTGCCTTCTTTTGAAAAAAGAAAATATTAAAAATTACTTTAAAATATTTCAAAATTTAAGATATAAACAAAATTCACAACGAATTTATTTATTTATAATTTGGAACATATATATTTCTTTAATTTATGTAACTATAAATAATTAAAAAGAAACATATTATATTTATTTAAGAAAGTCAAATAAAATAAAGTAAATGGATTGGAATTTATTTGAAATTTGATATTTAGGATAAGAGTGGGATACAATGTATGGTAACATGTTATTTCATAACAATTCGTTTTGAAACAGAATTATAATTTAAAATGTATTTATATATAGAGAATTAAAGCATGATGATATGGCGGTGTTTTTGAAAATTTTACGGAGTGCACTAAAAGGTAAAGAAATTAATAATTCCAATAACCAACAGCCAGATAAAAGTGGTGAATATAGAACCTTTAAATTTGGTATGGGGGTTAGTAATAGACCAGACGAAACAGGTGTACATAGAATATTGGGGCGTAGGCCTAGTTTGTGAAAGTTCGTGCAAAATGATACGAAAGTTACAAAAATGGTTATCAATGCTCAGACGCATGGGCTGATAGTTGGGGGAAAATAAATCCATTATTTTTAGGCAGATGGCTGTGCTGATAGATTTCTCCTAAAGTATCGATCAAACAATTTCAGATTTATTCTAGTAGTAAAAAAATAATTTTGCTGTCTTTTGTATGGTGCATTCAGTTGTAAAGTTACAGGGTGTTAAAAATGGAATTGAATAAAGAGAAACTTTAAACAATTTACAAAAAAAAAAAAAAGAAAAAACAGAAAGGAAAGTAGTAAAGTCGGACTGGGCCGACTATATGATACTCTTCACCACTTTGGATATATTCTACATATCGCTCATTTGGTGCAAGAGAGGCATAACTAAAACAACGTGATATTCGAGTTAATGAAGCACGATTGTTCGCTATAATAGACCTCATGTTGTGTAAAAAATGCATATCAATATCTCTTACACACTCTAATTGAGAAGCTGTAGATGTTCCTCTGTCCCATATAAAGTGTGAGTAAATCGAAAACTTTAAACGCATTTTCTGCAAAATCGTGTCTTTTGAGTTATGCCTTGCAGCAAATGTCTTGCAGCAAATGAGCGATATGTATCCTAACATTTTCATGTCAATGTTCGAATGTTGAACAAATTTAAATATGTGATCCTTTTCTATAAGTGAACCTACTAACATCATGCTAAATTTCATTTCATTTGGGCAGATTTAGAATCGTTTTCGTACAATGGGACAAATTTATGCAGAGCGATTTATAGCCCACTTGATTCACGGTATTCGGTATGTCGCACTGTTCAAAATTTAATCTTAATCAGACACCCGTTCGAAATATATATGGAAAATATATATGCAAAAAAAATGCAATAACGTAATTCTAGTCTCAATTTGATACGATGTTCAAAATATCGTGTCAATCGGATAAATATTAGGAGTTCGGTGCACCATTTACCTAAAATCGGACGAAAATGTATATGTCGGAGATATATCTAAAACTGGACCGATTTCAATGAAACTTGCCAAAGATTAATTTTTATTAATTTCAGAACATTGTACAAAATTTTTGCTAATCGGAAAAACTTTGGGTCTTTGGTATACTATTTACATCATTCTAGACTCAATTCAGTACGCTATGACAAATTTCGTGCAAATCAAAGAATATATTGGAATAGTTACCTAAAATCGGACGAAAATATATATGGGAGCTATATCTAAATCTGAAACCGAAATTTAACTATATACCTTAAATCGGACGAAAATATATATGGGAGCTATATCTGAATCTGAACCGATTTTCACGAAACTATACACACATCACTTTAGCGTTAATTTAGTACTCTATGCCAAATTTCGTGTAAATCTAAATCTCAACCGATTTTGCCCAATTTCAATAGGGTTCGTCCTTGGGGAAAATAAATGAGCTGTACCAAATTTCATCTAATTCTATTTATTGGATGAAACTCGATTTGTGGAGTAGTAATCCCAGAGCAGACGATAAGGGTAGAATCTTGAAATTGTGTATATGTTAGTAATAGGAATTATTGGATTTGTAAAAGTAAAGTAAATACCATATTACCTCCACAGTGAAGTGAACATTCAAAATGTCTAAACCAGGATGTAGTGCCAGATTTACCATCCTCCGAGGAAGTGTAGGGAAGGTCAGGCTCCTACTTCTCGATCGTAGGATATTATTGTGATCTGACAGGGTAATTCAAATTTCCGTCCCGATTCTTCAATAAAAAGTCGACGGTTGCTGTTTGGTGAGGGCCATCTGTGTAGCAACAGTGGACAGAGGGCATTTACTCTGGTGCTTTCGATATGACTATCCTACTAACTACTGATTGAGGGTCCGATTGTAGGCAGTACTATATTTTAGCCAAAAAATATTTGTTGTCACAGAAGAAGTACACTTGTCAGACTCTCCAATCCTGGAAAATGACTATTATGTTCGCTGAACATATTGTTATATCTAATATATTCTCTCTACTTCTATTAGCAAAGGTTGTTTTATTTGGTTATTAGGACCTTAATATTTAGCTAGGTAAATATTTGTTAGCTAGGTAAATTTGTTTTGTTAGCTAGGTAAATATTGCCATTCCCGGCTTCAATATAGCTGCGACCAATGTAAACACCTCTGGGGAGAAGAGAAAGCACATGGGGAGAAGAGAAAGCACATGGAAAACTGTTTTTGCATAAAAAAATTGGTAATTGATCTGGTTTTATCCAGAGACCTTGTATTTAACAGTCCAAGGTTCCCGGATTACCCTCTAGATGACACCTATCAATAGCCTTCCAGTAGACCAGCCTCTTAGGCGTCGATAACTATTCACTTTTGTTGTTGGGTATTTCTCCCCCGATATTTTTCTGTTTTATCCTTCTCTTTCAACTCTGGGCTTCCCATTGTTGAAGTAGACAGCGTTTGGCACGAAGGGCACCTTTCCCTTAGTCAGACATGCCATCCTCTTCCGAAAAAGTGTAGGGATGGTAGGTTTTACCCTTTGAGCATCAGTATGCTGTTCGCGATTATTTCTCCGGTTCATAGCCGTTGTGCCTCAGATACTGCTTCTTTTTTGTTGTGAGCTCTTTGCTCACTTCCTCTACAATCTAATCAGCCTCTTTGCTGAGCAAGGCATTGTATTAATGTTCAGACTCCACTCCTCTCTAGAAAGGGTTACTCACATCAATTGCTGCTCAATGGCTGTGTGCTTGTAGCCATACGCTCTACTAAAGAAGCCCATGATGGCAGTATGACGACGGAGCGAGACTAGTGGACATGACATCTCACTGTAACTTCTTCGTACTTTCCATGTATGTCATCAAATGACCTATTTTGTATTAATATTTTCAAAATAAACAAACATTTAAAAATACTGATTATCTTAAAACTATCTTCAAAATTTCGATTCCCACACTTGACAGATTATCTAACTAAACAAAACACTTATAAACATAGTTATTTATTTTTTGTATGTTTTTAATAAATTGTTTGGCCAAGCAATTTGGAAAATTTATGAGTGGTTTAACATCAAATTGAAGTACGTAGGTGTATGTACATTCGAGTGTGTTTCAACTATGAACTGTTAATTAAACACAACACCACAGTGAAGTGCCTAGCGCATATGTTTAGGGTGGTCAAATATCATGATAAGATTATTGCAGACAGTGGCTATTGATAAGCCAATTTGAATCAATGTCCAAATGACGTTTCATCTTCGATGCGATAATAAAATATTTAGATTGCATTGATTTATAAGCCATTGGGTGTTATTAAAAATCAATAAAATTGTTCGACTTGTGTTGATAATTGCAGTAAAGCGAAAAGAATCTAATCCTTAGGACAAAGAACAGAGAAACGTAAAATGTTTTGTGAAGACAGTATGAAATCTTTTTTACAGGTGTTTTTATTATCATTTTTGGATTAGTCACATTCCCTTGGGATTTTTGATGACGTCAGGAGGGATTTATTTGATAGTCTTATCAAGACCTGTGTCTGAAGGTTTTTATATTGCCACAACACGTATAGTTATGGGAAAACCAATAAATTTTCTTAAAGGGCCAGAGTCCAAAAAAGCATATAGTAAGAAATTTGTGCCAGACATTGTGTTACTTGGTCATGGTTTGTCAAAAGACGAGGATTTATTATATTATTCTACACCATTTAGAGTTTACAAAGGATACATTTATATTAATAAATAATAAAGTGCAAAATAAGTGCCGGCGGACAGACGGACATGACTAAAGCCCACTGATCAAGAATATATACATAGGATGATAACGGTGCTTCAAAATACAGTTAAACAGACTTTCCAGATGACAAATAATGTACATATATGTATGAACATGAAACAATACAGAAATCCACGGTGTGGGCCTTCGAATATAACCCAAATCCAACAAAAAGGACTTCAAATGAAATGTTTCTTAGGAAAAACTGGTCATGTGGCTACTGTCCCGCTTGATTACCGTGAGGCGATCAATTCTGAGTGTTATAACACAATTTGTTTGCCTCAAATCTTCTCGCATCGGTTCCAATCAGTGCTTCTTTGGCCGCCCAACACAGTGGATTTAAAAGGTATTTGACGTACAGCTCTGACTTGGAAAACTTTGACATAGCCCCATATATCGATTTGGGCGATAACTACTTCATTCGACAATATTTACTTCCTTCTTCTGAGATCTAAGTCCAAGTCACTGTAAACAACACAACACATGGTCGTACGTCAAACCAAAATTAGTACGTTTATGTTAAAAAATGTAAAAATTTCCAGTGAAATATTACTATGGATTAAAATAACAGATCATCTATGCCTACCGGATACAGAAGTCCTTCCACAAGATTTCTATTGCAGACCCTCTTCAGATTTTTTATATTAATTGACCGTTCTTCTATAGAAAGAACCTTTATTTTATGGACACATATATAATTGATTCTCAAGTTATCAATACATTGAAGACCTTCAATTGACTTATTATAGCTAGAAGTCCGTCATAGTTTTAAATGAACGACTTTCCGTGAAAGTTACGGCCTTTATTAGATGAAAGAATCGGACGATTTTCTGTTTATCGCAGATTTCCACGGATAGAAAAATATCCTTCTATTCCCGAACATGAAGAAAAATGCGAACCACTATGTTCGTCATCAAAAGATGCTGTGGAGTGTTCAAATCCCATGTTTTCGGTTTTATTTAATATACACATTTTCCCACACTTCTGTTACCCAAAAATAAGCTCAACACATACGAATAGATACTAATTTTAAACATCTTTATCAACATTTGATTACAAATAACCCACTAGAAATCACTGCATTGTGTAGGGTACTATCAAACATCCACTTTTTAAATCAAATATTATTTTTTTGTTTTGTTCGTGTTGAATTTCCTTTGGCGGATTATTTGCAAATATTCTCCCTATCTAGCCGAGCCAGCGCGATTACTGCTGTAGTTTCTGTTATCATCGATTATCGTTGTTTTCGATTCTTATTGATTTTGATTTATATTTGTTTATGATAATATGATTAACTAACTCTACTGTGCTGTGTCGAAACGGGGGCAAAGTTTTCATTTTCGCGGATTTTAGATGACATAATTGAGTCGTTAAACGAACGTCCACTTTGGCGGTAGTGGAACGAACGGCTGCAGAAAAGTGAAGGATATTTTATACAGAAAAATAATTAAATTGAATCAAAAATGACAGCCGAAATACCAAAGGGTAATGAAATTGAAAGAAAAAAATTAACAAAGTGGAAGTGATATAAAAAGGATAATAATTAATTTCCAAACAAAAGAAAACAAAAAATAATAAAATAAGAATTAATAACAAAATAACAACAAAAAAAAAATCTTAAATTTAAATTATAGTTGTTATTAATTAAACAATGTTGTGTGAGAAAGTTATTTTATATAGCATTAAAAATGCAATACAAATATTATCACAGTCACTTAAAAAATAATCAAATTCAAAACATGTTTTGTGAAATTTTATATAATATCCTCGTGATTAAAAACAAAAATTCTGAAAATATAATAAGTAATACTTTTTTAGTTCGATGAGATCGAAATTTTTATGCATTCCATATTTAAAATCGATCACATTTGTCTACAATGAGTTATAATCCGAGAAAACGAAATACCAACTTCCAGTCTCTAATGTTTGTTAAGATCATCTAAATACCAAAGCGGAAAAAAGGGCGGAAGCTTTATATGCGGACAAGGTCAACACATTGACCTGCATTGAACATTTTCTGCAAATATGTTTTTCACCTTCTAAGAACAGCTAATAGGAAGTGCGAATATTCACTTTAGAATATCGAAAATGAGTGGTACAGTTATATGAGGGCCACACCAAAACGTAGGCAGATATATACTAGTTTCCAAACTACTAGTAGTGGTAGCGATGTACTATGTTTTGAAATTTATGGATTCTATCTAAAATGTTGTGATTTTTCTCTCGTAATTTCAAAATACGAATTTTTTTTAAATAATTCCATTTAATGGGAATTTCAAGTTACAAAATATGTTGTCTTTTCTGAAGAACAGTTATTGAAGCAGACATTCACCTTGGGGGCCACCTATCACAATATAAATAAGAACAAAGCCTTTAGCCAATGCAAGTTTACTTTACATGGAATAAAACATGGAAATTTTCATTGGGAATATTTTCCTTCCTATTATTCTGTTGAGCTTTGGGCGCCGTTTAAGATTTTCGATATATAATGACTTCGAGTTAATATATAAAATGCTGGGCGTCATTTGCCTAAATAAACAATTCCAGCATATAATCTGACGAATTAAATGGATCTATGTTTTCCAACAACATTGCTGCAGCAGAACAATAACGATGCGACCAGTTTTGAGAAAAAAATACTTTGAAGTGATTCCTACAAAACCACGTTTTCGAAGACCCATACGATGTATATCCATTATTCGTATCCTATGGCAATTTTAAAAAACTCTTCACTAATATTTTTTTCAAATTGTAATTTGCACGTACCGCAATTATGTGTCCGATATACTACAGATACAGTCCTTCCACATGTTTTCTATAACAGACCATCTCAGAGAAATGTCAAAAACGAAAATTACAACAAGAAAATAAAACACAATTGCAAACTCAATAAGGCACGAAAACAAATTTAACTTATCACTTCAATTTTTATGATTAAAAAAGTGAGATTTCACAATGCACTTATTTTATTTAAGAATCACAATTTTTGAAACAAAAAGATTTTTGAAGGGTATCGATTCAAAATAAATAATATTTATTAACACTGATTTCGAACACCACAAAAAACACGTCAAAACACTATAAGAGTTTAAGAGTTACCAGACTTATATGTAGATATAAATTTTTCGACATGTATTTTATGGACAGATATTTAAAAGACCTTCAATTGGCCTTTTATATTTTCAAAAGTTAAAATAAGCGAGGTTTCGCAGTCGATAAGAACTATATAAGTCTTCAATAGATAGAATAACATTGGACCAACACAAACGTGTTTTATATTGAATAAAACATGTAGACTACCATTGCGAATATTATTCATTTCTATAATTTTGTTAGGCGTTGGGCGCCATTTAAGATATTACGATATATAATGACTTCGAGTGATTATATTTAATAATCAAACATTCATAATCCGTATTTTATAAAATGTTTGGCGTCATTTGCTTATATAAACAATTCAAGGGTATAATATGCTACATCGGTAATACTTATTGCAATATGTTCGAAGTTTTATTCACAAATTGTAATTTATTTATTTATTTTTTTTTTTGGTTTTCCTTAAACAGGACCCGTTTTGGGCCAACGACATCTGCAGGTGTTTTTGCTGTTCCTGTCCATTACCGTAAATTATATTGCCAAATTCAATGCTGGTGTAGCAGTGGTTGCCATGACAAATGCCGAAACAACAAACCCAGATTTTCCGGTAAGTATAGACGAAGAAGGTGTTCTAGAGACAATTACTACTAAAATTTAACATTCTGATTTTGTATATTCTGAGCCTGGGCAATATTTCGCAATATTTAACCCTTTTGACCATTATAGGTCAACAGCTCCACACTCTAACCTTGATATATTTTCCAAAACTTGCTTTCCCGAGATCGACATAAAATAAAAGTTTTGTCACATTAGGTTTTTGTGGATTTGACCTTCGGAATATTGAGCCATTTTAAGGGTTTTGCCAGATTATGATTTTCTGCATATAATAATGGATCCAAAGGTTCATTGCATCCCCCAAAATATCATCTCGTATAAATATATACGCCCCATAATACAAAGTTGGCAATTTTTTACACAAAATATTAACCTTCTTCATTGAAACGGTCATGCTTATTGTTTGGTCATATTGCATTCTTAACTGTCGCCTCTGGATCGACCAGAAAACAGACAAAAATAAAGTTTTAGGCCCATTTCACTCCCTAAATATAAACGGATAATTACCATAATAGGGTTCTTATTTGACCAGAATCGAATGCGGTGTATGTGGGAGTAATTAAAAACACAATCCAAGCCAAAACAAGTAAACAATACATTGTCGTACGTCAAACTGTAATTAGTAAGTTTGTGCTTAGAAATGGTAAATTTTGCACAGAAGTCCTTCTAAAAGTTTTCTATAGCAGACTCTCTTCAGGTTTTTTACGGAAAGATAATAGACAGAAAGTTGAAACCTTCATCAAGTTCTTCAAGATCTTCAATTGGTATTTTATAGTTAGAAGTCATTCAAAATATCAAATAAACAGGATACCTATAAAATGCTTCAATATATAGAATCTTGGACGATTTTCTATTGATCAAAGAATTCCACCAATAGAAAACATCCTCTACAGGTCCTCTACATATAAAAGGGCATTAATGCTTGAGTGTTCCTTTCCTACCGATATTAGTGCGTAGGTACCCATTGGACTCTTTCGCCAATTCAAGTAACAGCTTTTTGATCAACTTTTACGATATTTTGTGAATTTTGAACACTTTTTTAACCAAATTGTCGGCAATTATACATTAACCACACTGCGATAAGTGGAACCGATATTTTCAGAAGACATATTTTTGATCATTAGTATTAAATTCAATTTTAGTAGCGCTATCTATGTGTTAAGCTGAGGGTTTAGCGCCATCTATATTTTAGACTAAGGATTTTTCAATAGATCTCTTCTAAGATAACCATTAGTTGTCTAAAAGATTCTATTGTAATTTTTATTATGAGTTCAATTAACGATCTTACAAAATTTATATATATTTTTCATTTTCAGGAATACGATTGGAATGAAATGGAAAAATCCTACATTCTGTCCAGTTTCTTTTGGGGCTATTTTGTGACACAATTTCCCGGTGGCTATTTTTGTCGACGTTTTGGGGCCAAGTTGACAATGTTTATATCAACATTGGGTTCAGCATTGGCCGCCTTGCTAATACCCCTCACCGTGGATTGGGGTGGTTGGCAAGTTTATTGTGGCATTCGAGTCGTGCAAGGTCTATTCCAAGGTTTACTATTCCCCAGTATACATGCCCATTTGGCTGCTTGGTGTCCGGTGAGCGAAAGGAATCGTTTAGGCGCTTTAGCAAATACCGGCATTGAGTGCGGTACTGTACTCTCAATGTTTTTGAGTGGTATAATTGCGGCATCGAGTATGGGTTGGCCGGGTATTTCGTATATTTCATGTGCAATTGGTGTCATATGGTGTATTTTGTGGATTATATTAGCTGCCAACAGTCCAAGTGAATCGAAATTTATATCAGAAGCTGAATGCAGTTATATTGAAAATTCCAAAAACGCATTGAAAGATGTAAATGCAGGGGAAACACCCAAGAAAATACCCGTACCATGGGCAGCAATTATGACCTCAATGCCATTCTGGGCTTTGTTGGTGGCCAGATCTGCTCAATCATGGGGTTTCTCTACGCTGCAAGCTGAGATTCCCTCATATATGAATGGTGTCCTGGGCATGGATATGAAGAGTAATGCATTATTTTCAGCTTTACCCTACTTCGCCATGTGGTGTATGTCTTATATTTATTTGATAACGTCGGATGTTTTGCTGCAAAAGAAAATCTTGAGTTTAAGTGCGATTAGAAAGACATTCAATTCATTGGCATTTTGGGTACCCGCCATTGGTCTAATAGCTGTGGGTTTTGTTGGCGAAAGTCAACAGACATTGGCTATTGTCTTGATGACAGCTAATGTGGGCATTAATGCTGGTTCCACAATTGGCAGTGCCCTGAATACCATTGATTTGTCGCCCAATCATGCTGGCATTCTAATGGGTATTGTGAATACATCGGCTAATATTATACCAATATTGACGCCACTCTTGGTGGGTCTGATTGTCAAAAATGAGGTAGGTTATTATTGTTTATTTTTCAATGTATATAAATAATTAATTTTTGTTTTGTTTTTAGGATGATCGTACCGAATGGCAAATTGTCTTTGCAATTTCTGCCATTGTCTTTGGCTTGGGTAACCTATTTTACATTGTCTTTGGCTCAACCAAATTACAGCCATGGGACAATGAAAATTTCCTCTTATCGAAAGATATACAAAACGAAGACTGTGTTGATAAAAAATCAGATGAAAAGAAAGAGAAATATTAGAAAATAATACAATTTTTTTTTATATTAGATTATAAATTTAAATCTTGTGATATGCTAAGTTATTGTAAATATTTTTTTATTCTTAAGGATTTTTTAAATAAATGAAAGTTTCTAACTGATTAAATAGTTACAAAGGTTTTATTAAGGATTATAGTTTCGAATGAGAGCATACATCGAAAAAAATCATAGTCCACGTACAGCTGTATAGTGCTGGGTAACAAATCCGAGGTCTGATAAAATGTATGGAGTTACGTATGTTCGACTTTACGAAATTGGTTGGTCGTGTTTTGGTGTGCCATTCGATTGTTTACAATTCGAAAAAAGAACAAAAGAATCTGATTTAAGTTCAAGGAAAATCTAGCCAATTTCTAGCAGGACATTGCTCAATTGTGTTATTACCAGTTTAAGGAAATCAATGACGATGCATGACCTGATCCCCCGAGCCCCTCATCAAGTGAAGAAAATAATTTTGGTTTATCGTCGAATCTTTAAAAGAGAGACTTGACACGAAACATCAGCATCGATTATTATTCTAATATTGCTAAATTTTGGACATCGCTTAGGAGCTGTTCGACATTATTAAGGAATACCCATGGTACTTGAAAAGGGTTTATTATTGGTGAAGAATCATAAGTGTTTGGCTATGACATTGCAATCAATGTCGAATCTTCCAATGAAAATGAAACGGATCGGGTAAAAATTGAAATATACAATGAAAACATACGAATTTCGATTCTTTGTCTTTAGGAACCTTATCTAAGATATAATGAACGACATTTTATACCCTCAGCGTTATGGCTAATGAGGGTAAAGTTTGCCTCATCGAAATATTGGGTTAAGACACCATGTTTCTTGGGATCAAATCCGTTTCAGACAATTTGAAGTCAATTTACAAATGTTCGTCCTTCCATACGTCTGTCTGGCCGGCTAATGTGCATGATAACTCTCGAAGTGAATAACCGATTTCATTCAGAATTTGCACATGGTAATATTTATTCTAAACTTAGATTAAGTTCGAAGATGGAGGATATCGATCCACTTCTTCTGGTACCACCCCTATAAAATGGTCAACATTTTGATGAAAATTAAACTTTACACAACCAAATGTTATAACCATGACCGTATATTGTTGAAAGATTGGACTTATCCTTCCACTTCTTCCAATACCACAAAGAGTCAACATTTTCAAAATTTCTCGACTTTTTATTTTTAAGATTTTAAATGGGCTGGTAAATGAATACCAATGCTTGTTAAGGTTTGTAACTATGCACATATATATTTGAAGATTTAAAAAGGAAGAAAAATAATTTACAAAAAAATTTTGTTATTGTTTTGTTGTTGTTTTTTGTAATTAAAGAAACGTCCTTATTTTTGATGGCGGGCATGATAACTCCTCACTAAAAAGTAAGGAAGATCTTCACCGATTGGCTTTATCCAAGTTCATACGAGAGCTATACACTCACAGAGAAACGTGTAAAAATTTGAAATCGATTGGGTTATTAGCTTTTGAGTTATCGTGCCCGCCAATCGCAAAAAAAATGTTTAGAGAAAAACGCGTTTAAAGTTTTAGAAGCCCTTCAGCCGTCACTTGATGCTGACACAATAAATCGGCTATATCTTCAAGAGTTCTTGAGATTTTCATTTGAAATTTTGTAGGGACATTCTTTAATCAGTTTAGATTCGAATTATATCAACAAAATTTTTGACCCCGAGAATGGGGGTGTCCCCTTCAGTCGATTTATGCATGTCCGTCCGTTTGTCCGTGTTAAATTATAAACAAAGTACAGGTCGAATTTATGATTCGTATTGGATGAAATTTGGCTCGGCTCAATTATTTGGCCCAAGGACGAAGCCTATTGAAATTGGGAAAAATCGGTTCAAATTTAGATATAGCTCCCATATATACTTTCGTCCCATTTAATTAAATGGTGCACCAAAGCCCCAAAACATCTTTCGATTTGCACGAAATTTGGCATAGCGTACTGAATTAAGCCTAGAATGATGTGTGCTAAGTTTCGTGAAAATCGGTTCAGATTTAGATATAGCTACCATATGTATTTTCGTCCGTAAATAGTGCACCAAACTCCTAATGTTTGTCCGATTAACACGAAATTTTGCATAACGTATCAAATTGAGACTTGAATGACGCTATTGGGTTTTGTTGAAATTGGTGCAGATGCAGCCATAGCTTCCTACTTTCCTTACTGTTTTTTTTTTCATTCAATGTTATCGTTCGTTCCATGGCCTCTCACACCAGCCCCTGCCTAGCCTAGCGAGGGAGCTACCTCTCTATATATAGGGAGCACATACACCCTCGAAACCCGTACTAGGGTGGGTTAGTAGTAGTAATATAGGATCGACATTTGGTACTTTGAAGATTTTTAATTGAATTATATTTCATATTTTTGACATTCTCGTGTTTTAATTTTCACTGAGACACATTGTGGATCAAAAGTATTTCAATAATTTATTTTAAATAGATTTGTCGTAGTGACACAAAACCTTTTTTTAATAATCTAAAAAAGTGAGATAACCTGTGGTATTTTATCTAAAACGAAAGTGAATAAATGAAACAGCATTTTGTACGCTTCACCATAAAATGCAGGTTATATTAAATATGTCATACGGTTTGTAACAATTTAAATTATTAATCGGATGCCATATAATGTCGGTAGTTGTGTGCATGCTAGGGTTGTTGCATGCTATGTTTGTGATTCCAAAAGTATGAAACTAGAATTCGACATCTTCCAAACTATATTGTTAAAGAATTTTTTTTCTTTTTTGAAAGACTGGCATTGACGAAAATGGATCGCTTCACTATCTGTCATCTCATAAAAATGATCAAACCTTAATACCCACATATCGTGTTATAAGAGGAGTATGTTAATGTCATATTTGGAATTCTGAGAACCCTCAAGTAATTGAAGAGGAGTTCATTGGTCCTAAGGTATGATTGGACGTTGCTTCTTCGAAAACGACGACGAAACGATTGTCACCGACTTGGAGGGTATGTGGTTTTAACAACACGGTGCCACATAGCATGTGGAGCGAATATGGCTTTATTTTTGACACAATTTTGACACAATTTGTCCTTATTTAAGGGGCTATGCAAAAACCGTGTTTATGAAGATAAACCAATAACTTTTGCGCACCAAAAAAAAAAAAAAACATCAAGTTATGACTGACATACCGCCCAATATGTTCCAAAAAGAGGTTGAAAATGACCACAAAAGAATCAATGCTTGCTAAAGTTGTAATGTTGATTCCATTAGCCCTTGTATAACCTTTTTTCTGATTTTTCGAATTTCAATAGTAATATCCGCTTTTATCCGAGCGCTTAAAGGTTTTTTTTTTCAAAAGTTCATGTCGAAGTGTATAAAAAGTTCGGTCTGCCGCTATATTTTTTTATAAAATTAACTCTCGTTTGTAAACAAGGGAATAGACAAATCCTTATCGTAAGTTCCGTGTTAGAAGTTATCGACTTGAGTACACTGCAGTCTGGCACTTGTTATGGCGGAAGATAACATAGTTAGTTTTTAGATCAATATATTCCATTTAAAATTTATTCAATTTAAATTCAATATAAACCCGTAACAGATTACAACATATGGTCGCTACAAAAAAAAAATCTATATTAAATCGATCAACGTGAAATAAATATTGGCAAATAAAAATGGCTGCTGTTGGTCTAAAAGGTATAACATAAAATTTTATTTAAATTTCTTTAGCAATTAACTTAAAATTCTAACAATAGGTCCAGCATTTGGACAAAGGCATGTTCAATCGGTGTTGTTATTTCTGGGTATTGCCATAAATTATATGACCAAATATAGTGCCAGCATATCACTGGTGGCAATGACAAATGCCTCAACCACAAATCCTAATTTTCCGGTAAGTAAGAAGAACAAGATAAACAATTTTCCTAAATCTAAATTTTATTATTTTTAGCAATATAATTGGACGGAAGCTGAAAAATCCTATATACTCTCCAGTTTCTTTTGGGGTTATGTGGTGACCCAGCTTCCTGCCGGCTATGTATGTAAACGTTTCGGTGCCAAGGTTACATTATTTGCTGCAACACTGGGCTCCTCGCTGGCGGGTCTTATATTACCCTTCACTGTAAAATGGGGTGATTGGCAAATATTTTGTGCGGTACGTGTACTTCAGGGTCTGTTTCAAGGCTTCGATATAACTGCAGCCTATGCCCACGTGGCTAAATGGTCACCAGTGGAGGAACGTAATCGTTTGGGAGCCATAGTTAGTTCGGGCATTGAATGTGGCACATTACTGGGCATGTTGGTAAGTGGTCTCATAGCCACATCAAGTATGGGCTGGCCAGGAATTTCTTATACCTCATGTGCCTTCGGATTAATTTGGTGTCTTTTCTGGGAAATATTTGCCTCGAACACACCAAATAAGTCAAAATTTATATCTGCTGAGGAGAGAAATTATATTAACACATCATTAAGCAAGAAACGTGCTGCGGAGAGTAATACTTCGAAATCAATTCCAACACCCTGGAGAGTTCTACTAGGATCATCAGCTGTTTGGGCCCTATTATGTACCCGCTGTGCTGAAGCTTGGTGCTTTACAACAATTCAAGCATCAATTCCCACCTACATGAGTGGTGTCTTCGGCATGAATATGGAAAATAATACCCTATATTCCGCCTTGCCATTCATTGTGCTATGGATAATGTCATACGTGTATTTAATACTGGCTGATTTACTTCTCAAATACGACGTGTTAACACTGAAAAGTTTAAGAAAAACCTTCAATTCCATTGCTTTTTGGATACCAGCCATGTGTCTTTTCGCTATTGGATTTTTGGAAGTTGAACAACAAATATTTGCTGGGGTGTTATTAATTGCCATTGTAGCTCTAAATGCTGGCAATATGATTGGCAGTGGTTTGAATGTCCTCGATTTAGCTCCGAATCACACTGCCATTTTGATGAGTTTTATAAATTCCGTAGCAACTATAATGCCAATTTTAACACCACTTGTGGCGGGTGCTATTGTTAGCGATAATGTATGTGCGGTGTTATGTTATTCGAAGGATATAAAATAATTATTTGTTCTTCCTTTCTCCTTCTCTAGTCTAATATCAGACAATGGCAAATTGTGTTTGCCATTTGCGGTTCCGTATATATTGTTACTAATATGATTTATCTGATTTGGGGTACAACCGATGTCCAGCCATGGAACGATCCAGATTTTCAGGAATCTAGAAAAGATATTCAAAGTGTTGGCAATATTGATGGTCGTTCGAAGGAAAGTAAAGTGGATGTGTGATAAACTAATATTAATAAATTTTGAAACTAAACAAGTCACACTTGTATTTTTTTACATTTCGTGATGTGTTTTCAAATTGTGGTAAGCATACAATAATTGATTTGGAGGTTATACTTAAAATTACCTGTTAAAAATATTCCATACATTGAAGACTTGTAATTAATTTAGCTTAATTAAATTAGCTTAATGTTTAGTATGGAGGGTATATTAATTATAATACCCTACACAACTATGTTGTCAGGGTATTATAGCTTTGTGCAGCCCCAAAAGTTTGTAACGACGCGAAATATTGGTCCTAGACCAACCTTTAAGTATACCCATCGCCATATCTCGACTAGCTGTGTCGATCTAGACTTGTGTGTCCATCCGTCCGTCTGTCCATTATAATTTGTAAACACGATAGAGGCCACAGTTATGTACCAATCTTCACGAAATTTTGCATGTAGGATGGGTTCTGGCCAATGAAGACCCCTATTGTTTTTGGAAAAGATCGGTTAATATTTAGGGGATGAAATGGAAACTTTATTTTTGTCTGTTTTTCGGTTTTCACAACACAACCCACCGTGAAGGGAATCTGAACAAGTAATTAGAAGGGCTGTACTGAATATTCGAAAATGTAAGGAAGAGGTACTGTTGACCTCTAATCGGGCAAGAGGGGGCAATTATTACGAAATATTACCCAGACTCGGAATAAACATCCGCAGTAAGTTAGATCCAATTTTTCCGGTAGCCGCCATAAAAGGGTGCCCTAGCGTTTTTCTATCGAATTCGCTGTAATATTGTAAAAAAAACTCCCTACCATAATTATTAATATTCGCCCCTTTTTATACCCTTCACCACACTGTGGTTCATATGTTTGTAACAGGCATAAAGAAACGAAATAGGCCCATGGTTCCTTTTGAGAATATAAAATCACTTTCTGAATCGATTTATGAATGGCCGTCTGTAGATGTTAAATTGTAAACAAAGTACAGGTCGCATTTATGATTCGAATTGGATGATATTTGGCACAAGTCAGTTATTTGGCCCAAGGACGAACCCTATTGAAATAGGAGAAAATCGGTTAAGATTTCGTTATAGATCCCATATATAGTTTCGTCCGATTTTATATAAATGGTGCACCAAACTCCCTATATATATTTACATTTTCACGAAGTTTTGCATAGTGTACTGAATTAAGCCTAGAATGTGTGCTAAGTTTCGTGAAAATCAGTTCAGATTTAGATATAGCTCCCATATATATTTTCGCCCGATTTAAGACAAATGGTGTACCAATGTCCCTTTTGATCTTGCGATTTGCACAAAATTTTGCACAGCGCACAGTGGGTTAAAATACCCTGTTTCCTTGGATTAATTAAAAAATAAAATTTTAAGTATCGTTAAAAATTTTTGCACACGCTTAAAGTATATAAAATTCTACATCACTTGTCGTTGAAATAAATGTCAAAAGTGGACTGGTGTTTTTGTAGTGAAACTTCAAAGTCAAACTTCATAGAAATTTTTGTGCCAAAAAAGGCTGAAAAAGGTGAAAACGTTCCCGTTGAAATTTTTATTTATTTTAAAAAGTATTGTAAAAGTTAAACATTTTTCAATGGAACCATGAAGTTTAGGTTATTTTGCGAATACTTCGTTAACATTTGAGTATGAAATGGTGTTTGGAAGTGATTAAGATTTAGTTATTTATATTGAAAATGCCAAAAAAAATTAATATTTTTATATTTTAAATGGATAAATAGTTATTATTCGTCCACATTCGTGTCATAATTTTTGGTTTATATTAAAGAGGACATAAATCTGTGTTATATTGCAAAATTTTACGCTGCCCTTTTGTGCCTTTTAGAAGCTATGCATTGTTTAATACAAGTGTTGCAGCAGTCAAATTAGCTAAAAGTCACATTGATCTTGTGACTGATGCTGTTGTTGAGTGGTGTGTTTTCTTGTTTTTCATGTTATTCTTTCAATTTTTTTTATTGTTGTAATTTTTGTTTCTATTAATAATATTCTTTGTTACAATAATATTTTGTTTTTGTTTATTTTAATAATATGCATTGTTTTGACAAATAGTGATTGTGTTGTGCAGTTTCAAGTAGTCGGGTAAAAGGGTTCTTTATTAGCTTTTTTATAGATACAAGTTCGAACGTTGTTTTTTATAATCGTCGACTTATGATGAATTCGAGCGCTCAAACAATGAATGACAAAATGACATTTTTAGCTAAAGAAATCAAAAAAAACGCACCAAAACGCTAAAAAAATCTGCCGAAATAACAAAAATATATGTTAATTTAATAAAAAATGCACGTGTCGGTTATATATAAAATTTCATATATATGCACACAATACAGGAGGACTTTTTGTTGAAACGTATCCTTGGTATAATATGCCTACCACTTTGCACAAGTTTTTTATTCACGGACCCGAAATTGTGTCAAATGCCCTTTTACAGATTGATCAATTATCAGAATTTGGTGATGCTGTGGACAGAGATGGCCTGTCAGAAACAGTGACGTAAATGACATACATTTCCGACGTATAATACATACGTCAGAAACGTCGGAAACCCACTCAAAACCATTATGTTTTTATAAAATAGCTATTTACATTTATCGATTTGGAAATAACGTATGCTTTACTCAAATTCATATCGAATATCAAATTTTTTTTCTTAAAAAAGTTCAGAATTTTTTATCAGTTCTAGTAAATAATAGCCAGATATACAGTAAAAATAATATATGTTCTTGAAAATTACTGTATATGGTGATAATATTGGAATAAATGACGTTTACTACATTTTATACAGGTATATGACGTTTTCGACGTTTACACCTTTTTGACAGTCGAAAACCTGAAAATTCGTCATACGGACCATCCCTGGCTGCGGATGATGACGATGTGGATGATTAACTTTAAGATGTATAAAATTCAATGTTTAAGTTATCATATTGTGCTCCTTGCACTATATACCTACACTGATATTTGTCATTACTTAATAAAATTATACTCAAATATACTTAGAAAACATTTTTTTAAACTTATTTTAATGGTATTAAGCGAAAAATAAAGAAAAATTATTCTAACATAGCTTCCCTGATTTGATCCAAGAAAACATGGTACTATAACCCACTGTGCAGCGTACGGAATTAAGAGTAGAATGATGTGCGTTAAGTTTCGTGAAAATCGGTTCAGATTTCGATATAGCTCCTATATATATATATATATCTTCGTCCGATTTAATGTAAATGGTGCACCAAAGGCCCTATGTATTCTTAAATTTTCAAGAAATATGGCATAGCGTACTGAATTCAGTGTAGAATGATGTGTGCTATGTTTCTGAAAATCCAAATGATGTTTGCAAGTATCGTGAAAATCGGTTCAGGTTTCGATATAGCTTCTATATATATTTTCGTCCGATTTAATGTAAATGGTGCACCAAACCCCCTATGTATTCTTCGATTTGCACGAGATATGGCATAGCGTACTGAATTGAATCTACAATGACGTATGCTAAGTTTCGTGAAGATGCATTCAGATTTAGATATAGCTCCCATATATATTTTCGTCCGATTTTACATAAATGGTGCCACAAACTCCTAATGTGAGTCCGATTAACACGAAATTTTGCACAACGTATCAAATTGAGACTTGAATGATGTTATTGGAGTTGGTTGAAATTGGTGCAGATGCAGCCATAGCTTCCATATGGGTGATTCCAACGGAACGGGTGTGACATTGTTACTGACTATTTTCAATATTTTGGGATATTTAATTTATAATATCAATTCGCAAAGGGTGATTTAAGTAGATATATTTAGTTGTTACAATCCGACATAAAAGGAAATTTAATAATATTTTATGTAAAAAAGATATGGCTCGAATATCAACGTAACGGGTGTGACTTTAAGTTTTCATTAAATCTTGAACAGCAGCTTTGTGTATTGCATACTGTAAAATTTTTGTATGGTCCGTTAACAAAATATTTTTTTCGTGGATTGTGGATAGTATACTGTTTATTATAAACTTTATTCCAAATCATTTCCATTATTATTTAGTTTGATATAAATATATTAATAAGTAACGGGTGTGACATGCAAATGTAACGGGTGTGACACAGTCTCAATCTTGATGTGTAATAAGTAAAACCATATAGCTTCCTTATATTATAGATTGATTTTAAGTAATTGACGCACCAAGGAACCAATATATGGCTGATAGGAACAATACGTACTGAAATTAGTATAACCTAAACTGTGACAAGTTTTGTTGAAATATTTAGTTTTGGAAATAGCTTCCATATATGGGCAATATTGCCAATTTTTTAACATAGCTGAAGCGGAGGTTCACCCCTTTATAACTCGGGAACTACTTAAGTATATGAAAAAAAGTGAATAGTTTTGGGTTAATTGATCTGTCGTTGCAAACTGTTTATGATATTGACCTCCAAATTTTTTTTTGGTGGAAGCTGTGTCTACTTTAATGTAAAAAAATATGTAAAAACAGGTTGAGGCGAACCAGTTTTTTTATGTTCTCTATCGATTTGTGACTAAGCCACTCATTGCACGGTCTTCGTGTCAAAGTAAAACTCGAAGCCAACAAAATGGCGACTACGCCCCTTATGTATCATTTTTCCAAATTTTACCTGCATCTACCTTTAAATGATGCTGACATTTTGAAGCTCGATTTTGAGTGTTTTTTTAATTCTACTTCTAGCTTTAATACCCAAACAGGGATTTATAAAAATCGATTATAAGATTATTGTAGTCGCGAATCTGCGTAATTTGATATGTATTTTGTGTATGTAGTATGCACAGCTTCAGAGTAATACTCATCCAAAGGTGCGAATTTTGTGCGATCAAATTTCTAAAAAACCTATTTTTCGGGCCAAATTTTTAGATCTGTCAACTGAATGATATGGGTACCCGCGATCAATAAGGTTTTTTACGTTTCGGATGATATAAAATCTTCTTCGTGAAAATCCATCTACTAGAACGGCGGGAACTGGCCTTCCAAAAACACGAAATTTGGCAAAAAATGTTTTTGAAAATATCGCGGATTTATTTGCGTTGTCTGTGTATCATTTCCGCTTCAATAAATGACCTCATACGGATTTTGATCGTTTTCGAAAAGAGAACTTTAAAAACTTCAGTCGAAAGAGAGATGTACGCAATTTATCTCAAAAATAGATTTTGCTGGCACATCCGTGGTTCTTAATGGACCACATTGAAATTGGTATAGATCGATGTATTTTTTTAGGGTGCACACCGAAATCGGATGCGCGTTAATGGCATATGGAGTTTTCGGAAATTATTCGCGTTTTACGATTTTTTGGGTACTTCAATGCAACTTGTGGCACATCTTAACCGTCAAATGAAATTTCGCAAAATATGTATGGATTGGAAGATAAACTTCAGTACTTCCTGGAAACCGCATGCGCATCAAATGATTTTGAGAATTACTCGATTTACACGCAATTTAAAATGTATATTTCATAATTTAATTTTATTTTATTTTAAGATATATTCCTCTTTATAGAACCCCAAGATTTATCGGAAGGGTCTTGATATAACCCGCAAGGCGTATACTTATACACAAAAAGTGATTAGTTTTATATATGTCAATTTTTCGGCGAAATTCGGGTAAAATAGCAGAATAACTCCAACATTTTTTTCTGAAATTTCTTGTAAAAAATTAAAAAAATAAATGTGATGACATTATTTTTTCGAACCAAAAACAAATATTTTTCCTCAATATCTTGTTTTGTTGTCGCTTTGATTTAGAAACCGCTACATGGACTTGTGTGATTTTGATATCATTTGATTCATCATGGTGTTTAGATTATGTAGATATTTTTAAATTAATTTTTAGGTGTGTGTATGTCATTAATATAATGAAAATATTTACGTAATCTCCTATATTTTCATTATTTTTCTCATATTTCGCGAAGATGTGCAACTTTTTCGCGATTATTATAATATATTCATATTCTTATTTTACGGAGGAAGATATATATCAACGTTTTTGGTCAATATAATAAACGGCGTAATTTTAAGATTTTTTTCTTATGCCCAAAATTAAAACCTCGATAACTTTTGCGCGCATCAACCAAAAATGTGATCGCGAACGGTTTCGGAGTCAGAACATTTTTCTCTATATATGTACCAAAAATCATTGATGTGCCACAAAAACAAAAAAGCTGATTTTTTGAAAATGGAATATTAAAAAATTGGCAATATTGCCCATATATATTCGTCCGATTTTAAGTAAATTGTGCATCAAACTCCTCATGTTCGTCAAATTGACATCAAATTTTGCACTTGAGCATAGAATAACGTAGTTGCGTTTTCTAGAAGTGCAGACATAGCCAACGGATGATCTATTGATATTTGTTTGAAGTCGATTTCCATACTTTTGTCGCATTGTAATAAACGAATGACATGTTTATGGATAAATCTAGGTCGTTTCACATTTAGATAAATTTCACATATTTTATTTCATCCAATTTCATGATAATAGTCCTTTTTAATATACCCATAGTGGAGAATGGTACCATAAAGTCGGTCCAGTCCGACTTTACTACCTTTCTTACTGATTTTCTATTTAGTTCGATCTTTTTTCAACTCAAACCGAAATTTTTGCATTCTATTTTTGAATTCCAAAGCTGAAATAATGATATTGATATTTTGAAATTAATTAAAAGTTGTCCTCGATTTTTGTGTAACGGGTGTGACAGATCTTATGATGCAACTACTAGCTTAAATATTAAAATGAAACTGAAACTTTTTTATCCATTTTATACAGTACAACTGTGACCTAACATGCGCAAAATATATTATATAAATATCCACATAAAATGCATAAAATTATACTTTTTATATATTTACCGTAACGGGTGTGACAAACGGGACCTTCGTGATACAAAGACGTTTACAGGCAATATATATTTCCAATAAGTTACGAGTTTGCACTAAACAATACTTAAATATGTTTACTTTAATGTGGCCAAAAGTCAAATGTCGTAAAAGGAAAAAATATGCCGAAAAATACTGTTGCCAGTTTGTCAATAAATTAGTGCAGCCAACAATTTCATGATACACCATGGAAAAGTATTCTTACGAAAAAAACTGGTCCTAAATTTTATCAACTCTTCATTGATATTAAAAATTATATTGTTCATGATATCAGTTATGGTATTATTTTTGCTAAAATCTATTATTAATTTTTATCTGAGCTGGGGTCAGTTTACGTGGAATCACCCATATTTCGAATGGGTGTCTGATTGAATTTAACCCGCATAGTGCCGTAATTATTTTTTTCGAATTATGGGAGGAAACTTTCAGCGTCTCTAGATTGTGGGTCACTGAATCCAAAAATTTGATATGTATCATTTTTTCCTTTCAGGATAATCGACAGGATCAATTGCAACTCACAAATGACATTGATGTCAGTGGTATGTTTATCAGTAGTTCACACCAGATGATTTATTGATCGCCTTATGAGTGTGACCATATGGTCGCGGTAGCACAGCTCCAGTTAAATTTTGAACTGTGCAACGTACCGAATAGAATGTACAATTTTGCTAGAAATTGTTTTCCACAATAAATCTGCCCGAATAATATTAAATTTATCGTAGGTTGCAGAAAGTCATTGTAAGGATACATATGTACAATATACCAAAGTGCTGAAGGGTATCATATAGTCGGCCCAGTTCGACTTTACTACTTTCCTTAATGGTTTTCTTTGGGGACCCTATTTAAAATCTTATTTTTGTAGAATATTTTGAAGATATAAAGATTTTTCTTTTTTCATCATCACACTACAACCAAAAAATTGCCCTGTAGCGCCATAACTCGAAAACTTGACCAAGGGTTTTAATGCCCATAAAGAATTTTCCACTCCTACAGCTTGAAATCTTGGCCAATAATTTCGTACCCTACCTTTCAATATTGATACAATTTTAGGCATATCCCCATATAACATTATTTCAAATTGCTATACCCTTCACTATCTATTTGTCGAAATCGCGATAGAGCTGGCGTCATTAGAATTGCCATATGCAATCTTGAACATTCGGTTGGGCTTGTTGTTCGTATCAACACCTGTTTTGTATATTGTATTTAGCACTTATATCGGAAAAAATTTGGAAAAAGCATATGTGAATTTTTAACACCAATACCGAGGTCGGTAACAGTATCTGAAAAAAGAAACAATGGAATGCAAAACTAGTTACAATCAAGTGAGTGGAAAGTGGAAATAACAACCACCAAATAAGTGGAGAATTGAAGAATGATGGTTGTGATGTATTTTTTCTTGAGAGGAATACATTTGTTTTTGTCCAAGAGAGAGAGAGAGATAGAGAGAGGTAAAATGTGCGCAAATAGTGGTAAAGTATAGCGAGTTGTGATATTAATGAAATGTTTACATTTTTTTTTTTTTTGGAAAAAATGACTTTCTAATGATTATAAGAATTTTTACTAGTATTCAAAGCGAGGTGCATGTTTATTAAATTTTTTTCTGTGTATTCGATTTAGACTCCAATAACATTTTCTGACTCCTCAGCCCTTGCTTTAAGTTATGACGTAAAATTGGCCGAATAAATTAAAATCAATGTAATATCTTTCAATTTCATTGTCAAACAAATACCTAAAACTTGTTCAACAATTTATTGTTATCTGCAGCATTATGTTGTTGACTTGAGTACCCATAACTTGGCACAAGTTTTGGTTATTTTGATAACAATATAATTTTAGATAAATTGCATTTTTTTCTTGATTCAATTAAGACTGAGAGACAAGAAAATCAGACGCTTTTTAGGAGGTTCATAAAAATGACAGTATCGTGTAGAGAGGCAAAAAATAAATGAATAAAAATTATAATGGAAGCAATTGTAGCCAAAGGTATGTTCAACCCGCTTTTAATTATTACAATTTACAATCCCAAAAGTATTAAATTTTCAATGATTTTTCTTGTATTTAAAGATTTTTTAATTAATTTTAATTTTTGGTTTTAATTTTCAGGCCCTTTTATCGGCCAAAGACACATCCAGTCTTTATTATTATTCACTTGTATTGCCATAAATTATATGACCAAATACAATGGCAGTATATCATTGGTGGCAATGACAAATGCAACAACAACAAATCCTAATTTTCCGGTAAATATTTTAAATCAATCAATGCCTTTAAAAAAAATATTAAAAAAATTCAAATCTAATTTTCAGCAATATAATTGGAGCGAAGCGGAAAAATCCTACATATTGTCCAGTTTCTTTTGGGGTTATGTCATCACCCAATTGCCAGCTGGCTATGTTTGTAAACGTTTCGGGGCAAAGGCGACATTATTTATAACCACCCTTGGATCTTCACTGGTTGGCTTAGCATTACCATTCACCCTAAAATGGGGTGATTGGAAAATATTTTGTACCGTACGTGTTCTGCAGGGATTTTTCCAAGGTTTCGACATGACAGCGATTTATGCACATTTGGCCCATTGGAGTCCGCCGGAGGAGAGAAATCGCCTAGGGGTTTTGGCTAATTCGGGCATTGATTGTGGTACGGTAATGGCTATGTTTGTTAGTGGACTCATTGCAACATCAAGTTTGGGATGGCCTGGAATTTCTTATATATCATGTGTCCTTGGATTAATATGGTGCTTCTTTTGGGAGATATTTGGTGCCAATACACCGGTAGTTTCCAAATTTATTACACTCGAAGAAAGGGATTATATAGAGTGTTCCTTAATGAAAAACGATATAAATGATAGTAGTCAAAAAATGAAATCAATACCCACCCCATGGAAGGCAATTTTAAAATCATCGGTCTTTTGGTCTTTGTTGGTGACACGCAGTGCTGAACTTTGGGGTTTTGCCACCGTACAATCATCAATACCCGCCTATATGAGCGGTGTCTTTGGTATGGATATGCACAATAATGCACTCTACTCGGCCCTGCCTTTCATAGCAATGTGGATGATGTCCTATGTATACTTAATATTGGCTGATATTATTTTAAATTATAAGCTATTAGCTTTAAATGGTTTGCGAAAAACATATAACTCCATTGCCTTTTGGCTGCCGGCCCTTGGTCTTATAGCAATTGGTTTTGTACCTGCCACTCAACAGCTATTGGCTGGAATTTTATTAATTCTTATTGTGGCCATAAATTCTGGCAATATGATTGGTAGCGGTTTAAATGTTCTCGATTTGTCTCCAAATCATGCCGCGGTCCTGATGAGTGTTATAAATACCTCGGGGAGTATTATGCCGATTTTATCACCTCTTGTAACGGGTGCTATTGTGACAGATGAGGTAAGTCGTTTACAAATTATGTTATTAGAATTAAAATGAAATCAATTTTTTGTTTTGTAGTCCAATTATCACCAATGGCAAATTGTGTTTGCTATTTCGGGTGCCGCATTCATCTTGGGTAATATAATTTATCTAATTTGGGGCTCAACGGATCTACAACCATGGAATGATCCACATTTTCTTAAGAAGAGAAATATGTCAACAGAATATGATATTGACGATATTCCAACGGGAAGTAAAACTGTAATTCGATGAGACAAAATTAGAAGATGTGGCAATAATATGCCATATAATTCATGATACCCCAAGAACCATGTTTGACATATTTTTTTTGGAATAAAAATTAATTAGGTTATATACCCTATATTTTTAATAAATACAATCTTATAAAATACACATACACCTTTGACTAAAATCCTAATATCCTTAAAAAAATTCACGACTCTGAGAGACTTTGAAAAATATTTTTTAGAAAAAACCACGCTTCTGAGAGTCCTTGAAAAAATATAATTTAAAAAATCAACGCCTCTGAAAGTCTGTGAAAATATTATTTAAAAAATCAACGCCTCTGAAAGTCCGTGAAAAATATTATTTAAAAAATCTATGCCTCTGAAAGTCCTTAAAAAATTTAAAAACATTCTTTAAAACATCTACGTCTCTGAAAGTCCTTAAAAATCGAAAAAATATTCTTTGAAACATCTACGCCTCTGAAAGTCCTTAAAATTTGAAAAAAATATCCTTTAAAACATCTAAGCCTCTGAAAGTCCTTAAAAAATAGAAAAAATATTCTTTAAAACCTCTACGCCTCTGAAAGTTCTTAAAATTTGAAAAAAAAAAAATTCTTTAAAACCTCTGCGCCTCTGAAAGTCGCTTAAAAAATCTACGCCACTGAAAGTCGCTTAAAAAATCTACGCCACTGAAAGTCGCTTAAAAAATCTACGCCACTGAAAGTCGCTTAAAAAATCTACGCCACTGAAAGTCTCTTAAGAAATCTACGCCACTGAAAGTGCTTAAAAACATTCTTTAAAAAATATACGCCTCTGAAAGTCTTCAAAAATATTCTTTAAAAAATCCACGCCTTCCATAGTCCTTGAAAAAATATTCTTTAAAAAATCCACGCCTTCCATAGTCCTGGAAAAAATATTCTTTGAAAAATCCACGCCGTAAATAGTCCTTGAAAAAATATTCTTTAAAAAATCCACGCCTTCCATAGCCCTGGAAAAAATATTCTTTAAAAAATCCACGCCTTAAATAGTCCTTGAAAAATATTCTTTAAAAAATCCACGCCTTCCATAGTCCTTGAAAATCTAATCTCTAAAAAATACACGCCTTCCATAGTCCTTGAAAAAATATTCTTTAAAAAATCCACGCCTTCCATAGTCCTTGAAAAAATATTCTTTAAAAAATCCACGCAATCCATAGTCCTTGAAAAAATATTCCATAAAAAATCCACGCCTTAAATAGTCCTTGAAAAAATATTCTTTAAAAAATCCACGCCTTAAAAAGTCCCTGAAAAAATATTCCAAAAAATCCACGCCTTCCATAGTCCTTGAAAAAATATTCTTTAAAAAATCCACGCCTTAAATAGTCCTTGAAAAAAATATTCAAAAAAATCCACGCCTTAAATAGTCCTTGAAAAAATATTCAAAAAAATCCACGCCTTCCATAGTCCTTGAAAAAAATATTCTTTAAAAAAAATATCCACGCCTCAGATAGTCCTTCAAAGAATATTCTTTAAAAAAATCCACGCCACCTTGTGGCCCGTAAAATATAATCTTTAAAAATCCACGCCCTTGAAAGGATATTCTTTAAAAAAATCCACGCCTTAAATAGTCCTTGAAAAATATTCTTTAAAAAATCCACGCCTTCCATAGTCCTTGAAAAAATATTCTTCAAAAAATCCATGCCTTCCATAGTCCTTGAAAAAATATTCTTTAAAAGATATTCTTTGAAAGAAATATTCTTTGGAAAATTCACGCCTCCAGTAGTTCTTGAAAAAGTTTTCTTTATAAAATCGGAACTTCTGCTACTTTCTGAAAAATATCTACGCCTCTAAGAATAAATGCAAAAAATCGGAAAATCAGCGCCACTGCTACTTCTTGAAAAATTTTCTTTGGAAAATCGGCGCCCCTGCTACTTCTTGGCAGTCCTTACAAATATTCTTTAAATACTATGCACCTCTGCTAATCCACTCTAGTGATAGTGCTTAAACATATAAAAAAACTATGAGATTCGTTAACATTTTTTATAAAAGCTCCTTTAAATCCACCCTAAAGATGGTCTTCGAAAATATTCTTGAAAAATCCAAGCTGGTGATGGTCCTTGAAAAATTTTATTTCTACGTCCCTAAACTTATTTATAATAAATTTAAAGTTCTGATGATCTTAAAATACATATCCTAACATATTCCATTAATTTTATCTTATCTAAATATTTTAAATATTGAAAATGCTTTTTTATTTCAATTATCATATTACGGTATTATTCTTATCGTAGGTAATATACAAAATTCACACGCTTATCCAATCACAAGGCAACATTATCGTAAGTATGCACTTCCTTATCGCATCAATGTAAAGATTTATAAGCCCCATATATTATCTAATCGGTATACCAGTTAATAATAACAATTGTATGACTAGCTACACTACTCAAAATTTTAATATAATTAACTTTATAAACAATGTAATAAATATAATTGAAAATTGAAGATGTAAATGCTTCAATATTTTCGCAGGGGTATAAAGAATATCATATTTATTTCTCTAGGAAAATTCAATAAAATATTTTAAAAAATTTCCAAATTCTTATTAATATTGAAATTGAATATAAGCTCTACGTAAGAAGATTTGATTTAAACACTTTTTAGTTAATTTGTTTCCTTTATAATGATCCATAATTTCAGATATATAAAATTTACGTTATTTATATTTTAACATATATATACAAATGTACATCATACGCAGTTACAGTACAGAATGATAAATTCCTTTATAGCTTTTGGTTTCTAATGTGAGGGTGTGTGTGTCACCTGCAACCATAAATCTTTTATTGACAATTTTAGTGAATGTTGTTATCAGTACTATTTTTACATCACTTATTTATTTTAGTTTAATTAATTTATGAAGTAGAACAACACAACAAATCTTATTGCATTTTGACAACGGTTTCCTTAAAGTGGATATTAGATGCTAAGTCTATTGCAAAACGTTCGACCTGGCACAACTTGTGATACGGTTAAAAAACAATAAGCGGTATATTTTCGCAAATAAAATAAAAAATTAAAATGACAGTGTTGATTCAAAAAGGTACAATTTTGAATAAATAGTAAAGAGAATTTAAAAAAGACTAAAAATTAAAATTACAAGGTCATTCCAAAAAATGAAATGTGAAACCCCTATTCATCTAAACAAAAAAAATTTTAAGTAAAAAAATCGATGTACATTTGATGTACCTTAAAATCATAATGAGGTGTAATCTGGACAAAGTGATCACTAATCCTTGAAAACCCCTTAAACCTATATGTTGTCCCAATCGCTTTCAAGATAATATAATACACATGCATATGTAATGTCCTTTACTGTCCTCAATGTACTTAAATATATGTCTGCGGACGAGGCTCGTATTTTATGAGTCGGTCGAAAAAAATTCAAATTTGCAAATATATTAAGAAACCAGTGAGCGAACCAGTATAGTCGGACGGGGCCGACCATACGATACCCTACACAACTACCACAGAACTCTAACTCTCTGCGAATGTTTATTCCGAGTCAGGGTAATATTTCGTGATATTTGCCCGATTAGAGGTCAACAGCACCTCTTCCTTACATTTTCGAATACTCAGTACAGCCCTTCTAATTACTTATCCGGTTGGTTGTGTTGTGATGTTCGGATTATATTCCACTGGAAAACACACAAAAAATTAAGTTTTTGGGTCCATTTCATCCCAATACTATTATGTGATAATCACCGAAAATTGTAGGCGTTGTCCTTGACCATAATTGGAACTTCATGGAAAATTTCAATGCGATCAGCGCGATATTTCCGCCCTCTAATGTGGTAAAGGGATACTAAATAATATTTGAATACGTAAGCACCTGTAAATATTTGAGTGTAACTCCCAGATCCGAGTAGATACATAACTGTAGTTGGTATCAATTTAAAGGCCAACCACTACTCATGGATATGCTATCAACTTCTCGGATCTATATCCTTCAGGAGTAAATATATACGCTATAGAATACAAATTTTGTAATTTTTCACACAAAAGTCAGGGTCCATTTAACCCGCTAAATATTGACCGATCTTTATCAAAACAGGCATGATTTTTCTTTGGCTCGACCCCCTTCTTCATGCAAAATTACGCGATGTTCGACAAAAATTAAGTATTTGGTCCATTTCATCCCCTAAATATTAACCGATCTTTATCAAAAACAATAGGCGTCTTCATTGGCCAGAACCCATCCTACATGCAAAATTTCATGAAGATTGGTCCATAACTGTGGCCTGTATCGTGTTTAAAAATTATAATGGACAGACGGACGGACGGACAAACATGTCTAGATCGACTCAGCTAGTCGAGATATGACGATCGGCAAGCTTAAAGGTGGGTCTAGGACCCATATTTCGCGGCGTTACAATCTCTTGGGGCTGCACAAAGCTATAATACCCTGACAACATAGTTGTGTAGGGTATAAAAACAATGCCAAGGTTGACCACTAGCAACTTTTATGGATATACAGAAAATAATTTGCTGATTCCAGCATAGTATGGCCAAAAATTAGGTTCATCGTTGAACACGACCATCTTTCCAAGAGCCCATTCACCAAAAAATCTTCGTTTAGCAAAATTTTTAACAGAGACCCAATTCATCATTGACACTGGTTGATATTTTCTTCACTTTGCACTCTACGTAAGGGTGTTGGTGGCTTAATGTCCAAAAATGTGAAGTTTGTGCGAAATTTAGTGAAAATAGCCCGAATATCCGTTTCAGTGGGTCGATTAAATAGAGCATATACGATACAGGTATACGTTTTGACATAACTCCCATATAAAAGTCTCGCTAATTTTCGTTATTTTAAGAGTTTCAGCCAGGATTTCATTGCCCAACGAAAAGGCTCTAGTTTGGTAGTTCGGGATATATGAGTAAAAAGTGGTCATTATAGGTTCACGTTTCGGTATAGCTTCCATATGGCGGTATCGTTATATTTTCGATATTTTGAAGTTTTTAGCCGCATTTTCCAATCAAAAAGGTTCGAAATTGACATTCCGGGGTGTGAGCAGCTGGTATCTGAGCAGAATATTATCCCTCTAAGCCCATGTATAAAGTCTATATAAGGGTCCTTTTGCATTTGGAATTTCGGGGGTTTGGTAAAAAATCTTCACAACCCGAAATTGACATTTTGGGTGTGAGCGGCTGGCATCTGAGCAGAAAATTATCCCTATGCCCATGTATAAAATCTATATAAGGGTCCTTTCGCATTTGGAATTTCTGGGGTTTGGTAAAAAAATCTTCTGCTCAGAATTTTTTTAATATAAGTCAATTTTAGGATATTATGTATTTGTGCATATGTGTGTGACAGGCAAAAGGAAACGAGATAGACCCATAATAACTTTGGAGAATATGCATAGAATCACCTTCAGAATCGATTTATGCATGTCCGTCGGTCAGTCCGTCTGTCCATTTTAATGTGTTAACAAAGTATAGGTCGCAATTATGATCCGAATGAGATGAAATTTTGCACAGCTTTCTGTGCAAAAGGACGAACTCTATTGGAACGGGAGTAATATGGGTTCAGATTCAGATATAGCTCACCTATATATTTTCGTCCGATTTTATCGTTGCTGGTGCACCAAACTCCCTACTTTTATCCGATTGAGACGAAATTTAGCATATATCTGTATTGAAATATATAGTTCCCATATACATATTCGTCTGATTTTATGAAAATGGGCACCGAACGTCCTAGTTTAGTCCGATTGAGATGAAATTTAGCTTAAGCTATTGAATTGAGTATAGAAAATAGTGTGTTATGTTTCAATGAAATCGTATCAGAAATAGATATAGCTTCGATATAAATTTTCAACCTATTTTATATAAATGGTGCACTGAAGAGCATATGCTTGTTTGATTTACCCTATATTTGGTATAGCGCAATGAATTGAGTTTAGAAGGATATGTGTTAAGTTTAGTTGAAATCGGTTTAGATATAGATCCAATTCATCCGATTTTATTTAATGTTTGCAACATAGAGCCTATGTGTGTTGTATGTATCCCAAGTAGTGAAGGGTATCATATAGTCGACTTTTGAACTTTCCGTCCGACTTTTGAACTTTCCTTACAGGTTGTTTGATATTTTAAAGTTTCTAGCCTAGTGTTCAAACCTACTATAAGTTAAGCAATGATTTCGGGTATATAAAGTTCAACCTCGAAAATTTTTTTTATTTTTAATAGTTTTTCTCAGAACATTTTCTTTTTTTCAATTCCAAAAATATTTACATTTTGAACTTTTGTTTCCAGGTCCCTTTATAGGTCAACGTCATGTTCAAGCCGTACTGTTGTTTGCCTGTATCGCTGTAAATTATATGATCAAATATAATACCAGTATCGCTTTGGTGGCTATGACAAATGCAGCAACAACAAATCCTGATTTTCCGGTATGTAGAATAATACAAGAGAACTTAAGAGTAATTTCGAAAAAAAAAGGATTTTCCATTTCAGGAATACGATTGGAATGAAATGGAAAAGTCCTATATCCTTTCGAGCATATTTTGGGGTTATGTCGTCACACAATTTATAGCTGGGCATGCATGTCGAAGGTTTGGTGCAAAAATGGTGCTGCTAGTATCCACATTGGGTTCTGCAATAGCTGCTATAGTAGTACCATTTACTGTCAGCTGGGGTGGTTGGCAAATATTTTGTTTTCTTCGGGTGTTGCAGGGTGCATTTCAAGGTTTTGATTTGCCATGTGTTCATGTTCATTTGGCAATGTGGTCTCCGGTGGAGGAACGTAATCGTTTGGGTGCATTGGCCAGCTCGGGTATTGAATGTGGCACGGTTATGGCCATGTTTATAAGTGGCCTGATTGCAACATCGTCATTGGGATGGCCTGGCATTTCATATGTGTCCGGTGCCATTGCTATAGCATGGTGTATTTTGTGGCAAATCTTTGCTGCCAATTCCCCCAGCCAGTCAAAATTTATATCAAAAAATGAATGTAATTATATTGAATCATCTATAAATGCTATGAAGAAGGAGTCAGAGGAGACTGCTACTACAGGGGAACAACAAATCCCCATACCTTGGAAGGCGATTTTACATTCACCACCCTTTTGGGCTTTGCTAATAGTTCGTGTCGCTGAGAATTGGGGATTTTCCGCGATACAAGCCAAACTTCCCGCCTATATGAATGGTGTATTTGGTATGGATATGAAAAGTAATACCCTATATTCGGCACTGCCATATATTACCCTATGGATATTGTCGTATTGTTATTTAATATTGGCCGATATCCTGTTGAAATATAAAATCGTCTCATTAAATATTTTGAGAAAATCATTTAACACAGTGGCCTATTGGGTGCCAACAGCGGGCTTAATTGCTGTCGGATTCTTGGAGGCAGATCAACAAACCTTGGCCATTATATTAATGATTACAAGTGTGGGCCTAAATTCTGGCTGTACAATTGGTAGTGGTCTGAATCCCATTGATTTGTCACCAAATCATGCTGGCATTCTGTCAAGCATTACAAATGCTGTGGGTAGTATAATGCCGATTTTAACACCTCTTGTAAATGGTGTCGTTGTAACGGATGAGGTAAGTTAGAAGAATTTTTCGAAAATATTATCTAACATAAATATTTTTTCTTTAGACTAATCGCTTCCAATGGCAGATTGTGTTTGCCATTACAGCAGCCGTATTTTTTGTAGGCAATTTAGTTTACATTATTTGGGGTTCAACAGACCGGCAAGTATGGGACAATCCTAACTATCTTGATGCTAAGAAAGATGCAGAAAATAGTAATGAACTCAACTCATCTCAAATCGAAAATGGAACGAAATTATGATTACAATTCATATGCTTATTTTGTAAGGATTACTATAATTTTAGTTTAAGAAAATATAATTTGTGAATTTTAATATTATTTTTTAAGTAAAATGCCAATTTATTGGACCTGAACGGGTAAAAAATGTTTACCGAACTAACCTTTCAAAAATACCATTGTTGTTGTTACGCTTGCCACAAGTCTTTTTGGGGCCACATGTCTAGCTCTTGCATTTTTGGCGAACCAAAATATTAATTACGATTCAGAGCATATTTGAAGATGTACGGCGCTACCAGCCCATAAACTCCTCAAACTGTCACTTTTTCTGAATGCATTCATAGCTTTTGCAATTCTTCTGGCGATCTTCCCTCCAAAATCGACAATTCTGCTTGTCTACCTATCCAATTTCAAAAATGGGCTTCATGGATATGACTATAAAATAATGTATTTTGTTATTCGTATTTCGAACGTCTGCAAAGGCTTCTGGATTCAAACAAATGGATACTACATGGTATTTTTTATTAGGAGAACACTTCTTGAAAATACGATAAGTAAAAATGTTGTTAAGTTATTTACCGAATTTATTTGCCGACCACTTTTTCGGAATAATACAATTGCTTAGTAGAAATATTTGTAACTCAATTGTATCAAATTAGAGCTAACATAAACTTAAATATACCGAAGTTATTAATACCGAAAATGATCGGGACATTTATGTAGGGACTATATGTGTTCAATATCCAGAATGTCAAAATATAGCCAATACAATGGGAAAATTATTCCAAAATCTTAAAAATACTGAAAATGTGGTGATGGGGTCTATGTCAAAACATGGATTTATTTTGATAATTTTCTTACATACATCAGCCCTCAAGAATTCTTGATATCAAATAACAACAACATCGGTAGAAAAATGCGGCTAAATCTTTCAAAATACCGAAAATTAGTAGGATTATATGGGAGCTATAAAATAAGGTAAACCGATGTGAAACCCCCTTGAGAACCGGAAAATCTAATTTGAGCCAAGTACTCGAAAACTTGGGGCAATATTGACTAATATTGTTTATTTTTAGTAGGAATATTTTCAAACTTGCCCAAAAGCTTTAAAATACGAAATATTAAGATGTATCGTTGTATGGGGGCTACCCCGAAACATGGTACAATCTTGATAATTTTTGCTCAATGAGAATCCTCAATATTGAATTAGAAAGCTTCCAAAAATACCGAAATTTTAGTATGAAGTATCAATTTTTCTAAACGTTTCCAATAGCCTCAAAATCCTTAATATCGGAAAGTGGACCGATGTATCGCATTGTCAATCCCAACCATCTTAGAAATGTGTGCAAATTTTCAATGACAGACGGACGAATATTACTCTAATCAAAAATAAATATACATAGGGTCTCAGAAATTAGAAGAGACTGGTGCGGTTACAAATATTGTAAGGCTTGTGCATCATCATTACGCTCATTCCGCTGAAATTGTCGGTTATTAAGTGAAAGTCTTTCCAAAGACCCGAATGTGCCGGTGCCTCGTCATTTTCAGGAACTATGACTGTTTTACGGCACGTTATGCTGTATTTTGCATTTAGATCTACTCATACATAAAGTCCAGCTCACGCAAAAATTGAAACTAGCTGGCCATTCAAAACATCGTAAATTTTCTTCAATGATAAAATTGACAATAATTTTTCGAATAACATTTTCTTCAGTGATAAAATTGTCATAGTTGGGGCTTTGAGAATCCTCAAGTACACATAAAAATGTTTTTAATGAATATTTTCATATCTTCATTCATAGTATATTTTTTCCATATTGTACATTTACCTCGCTTAGAATACAAGTATAAATTCTTATAATCATGAGAAAGTCAACATTTTTTTCCAAAAAATTTAAACATTGCATTAATATTAAAAGTATTTTCCTACATCGGTTTACTTCTTATTTTTTCCTCTCACTCCTTTTTGACAAAAATAAATGTATTCCCGAAGAAAAAAAGCCACCACTATTCAGTGTTCGGTTATATTTTGTTTTGGTATCGACTACTGTTTCTCTTGCTAACAACCGTCAACCGTCTGTCCACTCACGTGGTTGTTGTTATTTATGTATTCCATTTCCCCTTTATTTCAGACACTGTTACCGACCTCTTCTTTTGTTTTACAAAATTCGCATATGCATTTTCCAAATTATTTTGATATAAATACAAACAATTGGTCTGTTCCCGTACTACAAGAATCTACTACCTTTTACTACGATAACGAATTTTCCTTTATGATATCGAAGAAAATAGTAAAATCGAGTAGATCCGAGTAAGAAAATTACTCTCTTCAAAAATAAATATATATAGGGTCTCAGAAATTAGAAGAGACTGGTGCGGTTACAAATATTGTAAGGTCTGTGCATCATCATTACGCTCATTCCGCTAAAATGATCGGTTATTAAGTGAAAGTCTTTCCAAAGACCCGAATGTGCCGGTTCCTCGTCATTTTCAGGAACTATGACTGTTTTACGGCACGGTATGCTGTATTTTGCATTTAGATCTACTCATACATAAAGTCCAGCTCACGCAAAAATTGAAACTAGCTGGCCTTTCAAAACATCGTAGATACGAGAAATGGGTGACAGACGGTGGACAATAAATGATCGGACAAAATGTTCTTCAGTGATGAGCCACATATGTCACTTGGTATGTATTTTTATATATAAAATTGTCATGAGAAAGTCACAATTTTTTTCCAAAAATGTAAACATTTCATTAATATTAAAACTATTTTCCTACATCGCTCTACTTTACCACCATTTTCTTATTTTTTCCTCTCACTCTATTTTGACTAAAAGCAAATGTATTCCCGAAGAAAAAACACCACCACCATTCAGTGTTCGGTTATATTTTGTTTTGGTATCGACTACTGTTTCTCTTGCTAACAACCGTCGTCTCTACACTCACATGGTTGTTGTTATTTATGTATTCATTTTCTTCTGTTACCGACCTCTGCTTTAGTGTTAGAAAATTCGCATATGCATTTTCCAAATTATTTCGATATAAATACAAACAATGTATATCAAACAAGTGTTGGTACGAGAAATTGTTCTAATAACAGAAACCAAGAACCATGTAAATAAATAAGAAGAAACAAGACAGGGCACAACAAAGAAGAAAACATAAAATCAAAAAGGAAACATAAAATCAGAATAGACAAAATCAAAACAACAAAAAGTTTATGTACCATAATGATTTAATTCGATTCTACACTAATTCAAGAATGTCTCTACAAAATTTCAAGTGAAAATCTCAAGAACTCTTGAAGATATAGCCGATTTATTGTGTCAGCATCAAGTGACGGCTAAAGGGCTTCTCAAACTTTAAACGCGTTTTTCTCTTTTGCAAATGGCGGGCACGATAACTCAAAAACTAATAACGCAATCGATTCCAAATTTTTACACGTTTCTCTGTGAGTGTATAGCTATCGTATGAACTAGGATAAAGACAATCGGTGAAGATCCTCCTTATTATACCCTACACAACTATGTTGTTAGGGTATTATAGCTTTGTGCAGCCCCAAAAGTTTGTAACGCCGCGAAATATTGGTCCTAGATCCACCTTTAAGTATACCGATCGGCATATCTTGACTAGTTGAGTCAATCTAGACATATGTGTCCGTCCGTCTGTCCATTATAATTTGTAAACACGGTACAGGCCACAGTTATGTACCAATCTTCGCGAAATTTTGCATGTAGGATGGGTTCTGGCCAATGAAGACCCCTATTGTTTTTGGAAAAGATCGGTTAATATTTAGGGGATGAAATGGACCAAAAACATTATTCCGTTTTTCTGATCGCTCCAGAGGCCACATGTATTCAGATGTTATTTAGTAACCTTTTACCACACTAGATGGCGGAAATATAGCGCTGATCGCTTTAAAATGTTCCATGAAGTTCCAGTTATGGTCAAGGATAACGCCTATAATTTTCGGTGACGATCAGATAATTATTAAAAGTGGATTGAAAACTTAATTTTTTATGTTTTTTTCGAGTCGTCTATAGGCTCCAATGGGAATTAGAAGATCACAACACAAGGGATGGGAATCTGGACAAGTAATTAGAATGGCTGTACTGAACAGTAATAATTGTAGGCCTCTAGTTGGTCCAGATGGTTCAACTATCGCGAAATATTGCCCAAGCTCAGAATATAAATCCACAGAAAGTTTGTTTTTCGCGGAAGTTGTGTAGGGTATCATATGGTCGGCCCTGTTCGACTATACTGCTCCGCTCACTGGTTTTTTAACATGGTTTTTGGTCGGCGAATTTCCAAAAATATTTTTTCAAAGGTACGCCATTTTGTTAATTTTAGAGCCAGACATGTTCTCTTTCTAACACCGTTGGAATTTTCGGATTCCGATGTTCCAGTGAGGAGTTATCATGCCCGCCATAAAAAATAAGGACTTTTCTGTAATTACAAAAAACAACAACAAAGCAATAACAAAATTTTTTTGTAAATTATTTTCTTCTCTTTTATATCTTCAAATATATATGTGCAACGTTACAAACCTTAACAAGCATTGGTATTGATTTACCAGCCCATGGAAAATCGTGAAATATTAAAATCGTGAATGGGTGGGGTTCCCTTAAATTATTTAGTGTGTCACACACATCCCTCTTGATTGACAACAACAAGAAATTCATTTATTTGACGTTTACTGTATTTTTCATTCTAAATGGTTGTTGTCTTAAATAAAAGTATGTATGTATGTATTGTTCTCGATAACAAATTTCAATCGATTCTAGCCTTGCCATTTACCATTCTCAGCCAGTTATTGTTGCATTCTAATCAAAGTCTGGAACCATCAATATGAATTATAACAGTTACAGTCCGTAGTCTACATGTATGACGCTAGGGTAAAGAAAATAATATGGGTCAACTGAAAAAGTTCACGATGCTAATCTCATATTTCAATATCATCTTATTATTAAGATAATATTTCTATAATAATAATGTAAATAATTTATAAAAAAACTAATATTTTTATTTTAACTATTTCCATATTTTTAGATAAATATTTGATAAAAATATTATATGTAAAAATGAAGTCGTCTGATGAGGACTTCCTAGAATCCTCAAATTGAACTTTGATCCGACCTTGTCAATAACCACAATATTAAATGCGTTATTTGCTGATAACACACATAAAAGTACGGGGGGTAACGATATAATAATCGACATATTTAATATTCACATCATAATCAGAAACTATTACTACTAGCAAATGTTTTTATTTTTTTATTTTTGCTTCTTCTTCTAATCACTTTGATTAAGTTGGCCAAATTATTGCAACAAGAATAAATACTAACATAAACAATTAGACCCATAAAATTGTTAAACAAAAAAAAAATCGTAAAAAGTAGACGACGAATATGGCTGCACATAAAATTATCGTAGCATTTATCACCTTTCCCATTTAATCGTTATTTGAGATTATAATTGTATTTATTTTCACGCTGCCTACAAACTCCACAAAAACGTTTGCACTTGACGCCTTTCATATGTCTATAATCGGTCGTTTGTAACGGACATTGGCAAAGTTTGTGAGCGGTGGAAATGCAATAGGCAAAAAAAAAGAAAATATAAAAAAATTAAAAAAAAAACTACATTGCAAAAATTCTATTGGCAGGGGAAAATGACGGTCGCTGAAGTTGATAAAGGTAATAAAAAAATAGATAGCACAAAGCTGAACAAATACGAAGTGAAAATTTATGGAAATTAGTTGATAACTGTGGAGTTTATTTACATGAAATGGAAGTGCATGGAATTATTTAAATACAGATGTGTGGTGTAAATGGTTGAAACTATTATAAAATGGAAAAATCTATCTCCAATATATATAAATGTGAAATTATAAAATTTTAAATTATGGGCATATAAATAAAAGTTAACCTGACTGAATGATCAATTTCGTGTCGATCGGACTTATATAGAGTCATTCGTATATTATTTGTATGAAATCGGGCGGAATTATATATTGGAATTGAATCTACATATAAACTGAATTCAATCAATTTTTTTTTCGATCGTTCCCACGCCACTCATTCCCGCCTCTGCCGATCGAGGGGGCCACCTCCTCATAACGAGAGGAGCACGTACACCCCATAATCCGGACTATGGAGGGATATGATGGTAGGAAAAATATGTATTTACTACGAACAAGGACGTCTGTCTGTCTGTCCTTCTTCTATATTTAGCTGGATCATATGGGCAACATTGTCTGTCCATCGTACAAACGATGCACCATTGTATGGTGCACGCAAGTCCATCTCCAGTGCAAGATTTGGTTTCAATCGGACCAAACTTGTGTCTTCGGTGCATAGTTGCAGAAATATCTAAATTTAGACCGATAATTTATCTCTCTATCTCTTTCATCTTAACACAGGCTTTTTGTCCTATGAGGAAACGAAATACCGAGTTCCGCCCAAAAAGTATCCTCTTTGGACGGAACAAGAGACTAGAACTTTCAATAACATGAACAGTCTATACCAATAATTCCGACATATATATATCCAATATACGCCGTAATATCGCCAAAATATAACACTGTACAATAAATTTAAATTTTTTTGATAATTATTGGGAAATTCCAAAAAATATGATAGCGTGGCTAAAAATAGAAGACAAGTGTATCGGAATTTTTACGTCGGAAGGTAACCCAAAAACGTGTGGCAATATTTCTCATTGTCCTTTTTACCATCCTTCTAAAACGACATCTAGTGGCAAAATTAGCACAAACGTGGAATAAGATCGGGTAAAACCCTAAAAAAATATTCAGGCTGAATCCCAGTTGGTTGTTTTTATAAAAACAACTATTTATTGGTGGGAAATGTATGGCATTGTCCGCTGAGGGGTAAGGCACAACAAAATAGTTTTTTTTTACCAAAAAACTTTAATAATTAAATGTCTGACTTGGTTAACAAGGCATTTGCAGAACAACTGCATTACAACTTGAACTTTATGGCGAACATTTTTGTAGAATATTCTGACCGGCTATAATCCTGTTTTAAATTACATTTCAATCATTTCAGGAACAGGGGACCGAAAACACTCCGACTGACATTTATATCTGTAATATTGTCAACCATATACCTAAAATAGCAAGGATTTCAAGAAATCTTAATCCGAATATTTTGAAATGCATTACGACCTAAACTTTTAAATTGCCGATATACGTTGTAGCCCCTATTCTAATTCTAATTCTTAGCTCCTTTATCACAATTTTTTTTGGAATATTTCGATAATTATTATGTTCGCCCTCGGCGAGTATATTTAAAACTCAAAAGGACTAATTCGTCATAGTTCAAGGTTTTCAGTTACAGCTGGATGTTTTTTTTTTTTTTTTTTTTGGTAGAACTGAAGTTCTTGAAGAAAAAGCTGGCTATATTTGTTTGCGACTATTGCGTATTATTTTTGAGATGATATATCTTTAGTCAAATCGAATGAATAATATTTTTCTAAAATATACCATATACCTAAAATAGCAAGAGATTTAACACAAGACCATTTGTTTATCTTAATACGAATATTTTGAAATGTCTTAGAAATTATTTATACCCTTAACCACACTGTGGTACAGGTATTATGTCTTTGTGCATATGTTTGTAACAGCCATATGCATAGAATCTATTTCTGAGTCGATTTATGCATATCCGTCACTTGTCCGCATGTCTGTCTGAACATGTATTTTTGTAAGCAAAGTACCTGTCGCATTTATCAACCGAATTGAAAATGGAAAAAATTGGTTCAGATTTAGATATAGCTCCCATATAGAGTTTCGTCCGATTTACGTAAATGATGCAACAAAGTCTCAATATCTCCGATTGAGAAACAATTTTGCACTGAGTACTGAACTAGGCCATGATTTATATATGTGAAATTCTAGGTAAATTTTGAAATATATTTTAGTATGTTATATCTATGGGTTGTTTTAAATTAGTTCAAATATCCATGTAGTTCACACAGTTAATTTTGTGAGTTTTCATTTCAAGACTTTTCAACTTTCCTTACTGACTTTTCTTTGTTCTTTTCCCGAACATTGTTCAGCAAAAAAAAAAAAATCGTAAAAAATTTTGAATTATTTGAGGGCAAACCGGAAATGTGGACCGACATATATAATACATCATAGGCGTACTATCAGTGAATGTGCAAAACATCAAAGCTCTATCTTATACATTTGCGAACTCGATCATGATATCTGCAGACGGACGGACATGACTAAATCCAAATAGAATTTATTTATTATTATTCTTTACTGGTCTCCGATGAATACTTCGAGGCTTTACAAACAGTATGACAAATTCAGTCCCTACGAAATATTATTCTGAAAATTTTGGTTCAGAAAAAATCTATGCGAGGCTTATACAGCTTATAGCATTTTTAATATATTATTTAAAATTCCACAATTATAACGCTGATAATCCCTCCAAAATATTATTAAACCAGTGAGCGGAGCAGTATAGTCGGACGGGGCCGACCATATGATACCCTACACAACTACCACCGAACTCTAACCTTCTGCAGATCTATATCTATTTGCACCCTCTTAACCGATTAGAGGTCAATAGCTCTTTTTTCTTGCCATGACATCTTTTTCGAATTATGTTTTATATTATAATATCCATTGTTTTCATTTTACACAGAAAGGTCTTGGTTGGTACAAAAGCCCATCAAATTAGTTGACCAGATTCATTCTGCTTACAATTGTGGCATATAGATCGACATGATGATCACCGCAAATTATAGGCGTTGTCCTTGACCATAACCGGAACCTCATGGAAACTTTTAAAAGCGATCAGCGCTATATTTCCGCCTTTTAGTGTGGTAATGCAAATATTTAAATGTAACTCCCACATAACTTCAAGTAAATACGACAATATAATTGGTATCAATTTAAAGGTCAACCACTCCTCTTGGATATACTATCAACTTCTCGGGTCTATGTTCTTCAGGGGTAAATACAATGCCATAGAATACAAATTTTGTCATTTTTCACACAAAAGTCAGGGTCCATTTGACCCACTAAATATTGACCGATCTTTATCAAAACATGCATGCTTATTCTCTGGCCCTTCTACATAAAAAAAATTCGCGGTGTTTTGGGCCATAATTGCGGCCTCCCCTAAATATTAACCGATCTTTTCCAAAAACAATAGGGGTCTTCATTGGCCAGAACCCATTCTACATGCAAAATTTCGTGAAGATTGGCCCGTAACTGTGGCCTGTATCGTGTTTACAAATTATAATGAACAGACGGATGGAGGGACACACATGACTAGATCGACTCAGCTAGTCGAGACATGACGATCGGTATACTAAAAGGTGGGTCTAGGACCCAATCCAAGCTTATAACTCTGCTAGTCCTCCAAAATACTAGTTAAAAAAAACGCTTGTAATGCTTATAGTTCCTTTAAAATATTTTTCAAAATTCAACGCTCGAGTATTATTTACAAAATCTACCCTTATTACTCTGATAGTCAATCGATATGCTATCATAAGAATTCAAAAAAAAAAAAAAAATAAATAAATGAATAAAATAAAAACAAAAAAATAAACAACAACAATATGAATTTAAAGTCCTCGTTTGTGTTTTTTATTACTTTCTTCAAATATTTATAATTTTCGCATTCTATATTTATTTCGTTGCTAAAAATATATACATAACACTGTGTCAGTCTCACTTCATATAGAGATTATCAATTCGATTAAATACAATTAATTGCTTAAAGCTATTAAAGCACTTGAAATGTTTTTTTTTCTTTGCAAATGGTCAAAAATTAAATAATTATGTCAACGATTAGAATATCATAGCAGAGACATCAAGGTTTTTCTTTTGCAGATAAGAATGGACGTGCATGCACTAAACAATACAAAGAAACTAAATTAGTTTTATTTATAAATGTTTATAAACAAATGAGTTTTCTTCAGACTTTTTTGTATATACTGCAAAGGAAATATGCCCATAAAACTTTTATTTACTTAGACATATTTGCGATAAAGTCCATTGACCAATTAAAACTACCAATTGCATTAAGATAAGAGAAACAGAAATATAATAAACATATAGTAATGAAAATAAAAAAAATGCAAACGGTTAATGATTTATGGTTTTGTTTGATTTATTGAAAGTGATTTCGATTGCCATTGTGATATGGCTAAGATAAAATGAAAACATAAACAATCGATTGAGGCATTGAAGAAATGTTGAAGTCCTTGCATATTTCAATCACAGTAGAATCTTTTTGCTGTTAAATATTGGAATGCAAATAAAGATAAGTTTACGCATTTATTTGGATATTTAAAGAAATACATAACGAATTTGTATATATGATAGATAATGACTAAATTCTTATGCCACAAACATATCTAGAAATACGTAAATGTGATAAATTCCAGTGTCTGACAAATGTCAATCAAATTAAGATAACAAATAAATTCATATATTTAGTAGACATAAACTAACATCATCACATTTATTTATAATTTGACCAATTTTTTGTTAAAGATCTCTTTAAATAGGTCTTAGAAAAAAAAAACAAATGATCAACGAAAAGTGCGTAACTTTTGAAGGGGGACTATCAGAGCTGTCATACATTTATTTATTTTTAAAAACAATTTTATTATTTTTTATGTTTTGTACAGCATGATTTATTAAAAGCAATTGTCGACACACATTTCTCTTCTGTCGACACACCTCCAAAACATGGGTTTAGGTGCTTCAACAGTATCTACTTGCGCGTTAAATTCGGCCGGGCCGAACTTTAAACACACTATATCATAGGTACATTGACAGATACCTGCCCATAATTCTACAAACCGATTTAGAATTTCATACTTTGTAGGTAAACACTGACTATTTCGAGTAACGTCTATCCCCTATACTATAACAGAATACGCCTATATGGGGACAACATTAACACACGAACAAATCAGCTAACTATTTTAATATACACCAGTAAGGAAAGTAGTAATGTCGGGCTGGGCCGACTATATTATACCCTTCACCACTTTGGGTATATTCTACATATGTACCCGTCGCCTTTTCCAAGGAACATTGACATAAAATTTAACGAATATACATATGTAATCTTTATCTATACGTAAACCGACTAACATCAATCCATACACATGCCTCTCTGAAACCAATGCCAAATTTCTTTACATTCGGGCAGATGTTGAGTCGTTTGCGGACAAAGTGGCAAATTTATGTAAATCGATTTAAAGCAAACTTGATACTTAAGCAACCTAGACTAGTACGCTATTCAAAATTTCGTGCAAATCTAAATATATATAGGGCCTTCGATGCACCATTTACATTGAAGCGGAGGAAAATATATATGAGAGCTATATCTAAATCTGAACCGATTTCCACGAATCATAGTACACATCATTTCATACTCATTTCAGTACACAGTCCCGAATTTCGTGCAAATTGAAAGAAATATAGGGGCTTTGGTATTCCATTAACATAAAATCGAGCTAAAATATATATGGGAGCTATATGTAAATCTCAACCGATTTCTACGACACTTAGCACACATCATTCCAGAGTTAATTCAGTACGCTGTGCCAAATTTCGAGCAAATCGAAAGAAATATAGGGACTTTGGTGCTCCATTGACATAAAATCGGATGAAAATATATACGCCAGCTATACCTAAATCTGAACCAATTTTCACGAAACTTATCACACATCATTCTAGGCTTAATTTAGTACGCTGTGCCAAATTTCGAGCAAATAGAAAGAAATATAGGGGCTTTGGTGCTCAATTAACATAGAATCGGACAAAAATATATGGGAGCTATATCTAAATCTGAACCGATTATAATACACACCAATTTCGTGGAAATCGGAAGATTTATATGGACTTAGGTGCACCATTTACCTTAAATCGGACGAAAATATATATGGGAGCTATATCTAAATCTGGACCGATTTTTTTCGAATTTCAATAGGACGAACAAGGACGAACCCTTGGGCCAAATAAATGAGCTGTACCAAATTTCATCCAAATCGGATTATAAATGCGACCTGTACTTTGTTTACAATTTAACAGACGGGCGGACATGCATAAATCGACTTAGAAAGTGATTCTATGCATATTCTCAAGAGGAACCATGTGTCTATCTCGTTTCCTTTTGCTGTTACAAACATACGCACGAACCGTTATATGAGGGCTACCAGAAAAGCGGACCTATTTTTAAAATTTTTAGTATAGAAATTTGGTACCCAATAATAACACAATGTACCAAATTTCAGCGAATTCGGTTGAAAAACGCGCTCAAGGACCCCAAAATAATTTGGTACAGAAAAAATGGACATATATCCTAATAAGAAATCAAAACTTCCAAAATACAGAAAATTGGGGGCAACGTTATATGGGGGTTACCAAAAATGGTGGACCTATATTTAATATTTTTGTTGGAAAACATGTACCAAAATTCAGCGAAATCGGTCGCCTTTATGGGAACCACGCCTAAACATGGACCGATATGTCCCATTTTCGAACTTGACCTACCTGCAAAATTTTGCCGATTCATTTAGAGACTAGAGTGATTACAACAGACAGACGGATATCTTAGATCGTCATAGAATTTTACGCTGATAAAGAATACTCCTCTATATACTTTATAGGGCCGGAAAGGATTATTTCGATGAGTTACCAACAAAATTAATATAACCTCCATACTATGGTGAAGCGAATTTCTTAGTTTGTGGGAATAGCGGTAATGGTTGGGCGCCAATTACGGCCTATACGGCGGTTTTCCCATCAATTTCACATTATTTTAGAGGAACTGGGACGTAGATTATTTATAATATATTTTGACATTAAAAACTTGCTCCGAACGATTTTAATTCTTTGGAATACGCACCTCCTGGTGTAGAGTATAAACAGATGGGTCCGTTAGCACTTAACGACGTTTTTACTTGTCTTCCATAGAAAAGTGTTTATAAATTATTATTACTTTTTAAAATTTTTAATTAGTATTCGTGTTATATTTATTTCAGGACCCACGTTGGGCATGAGGCACATGCAGGCACTTCTAATATTCCTCAATATTGTTGTTGTCTACATCAGTCGTTTAAATATTGGTGTTGCTGTGGTGGCTATGACAAATGCCGAGACAACAAATCCCGATTTTCCAGTATGTATACAAATTCGAATACGGTAATCCGACAATACTTAAAAATTTGTACTATTTTTTGTTTTGCAGGAATTCGATTGGGATGAAAAAGAAATCTCCTATATTCTATCCAGTTTCTATTGGGGTTATGTGTTTACACAATTTCCGGGTGGAGCATTGTGTAAGCTGTTCGGTGCCAAACTGACAATGGGTGTATCGACATTTTTTTCTGCAGTACTGACTGTAGTGACACCAGTTGCAGTTAACTGGGGTGGTTGGCAGGCTTTCTGTGCAATACGAGTAATACAAGGTCTCTTCCAGGGTATGCTGTTCCCCTGCATACACGAACACTTGGCCAAATGGTCTCCTCTGCAAGAACGCAATCGTTTGGGAGCACTCAGTCATACGGGTATAGAATGTGGTACCGTATTGGCTATGGCCATTACCGGTCTAATTGCAAAGGGTCCAATGGGTTGGCCTGGTATTTCATATGTCTCGGGAGGTTTATGTTTTGCCTGGTGTATTTTGTGGTTTATATTCTCCGCAAATAATGCCACCGAATCACGTTTTACCAAAGAAGCTGAAAAGAATTATATAGAATCATCTATGGAACATGCAGAAGATTTCCATAAGACCAAGATACCAGTACCATGGAAGGCGATATTTTTATCGATACCATTTAATGCATTGCTGGTGGCACGTTGTTCCGAAGGTTGGGGTCTAGCAACACTGCAGGCTCAAATCCCCTCATATTTGCATGGTGTTTTGGGTATGGAAATTAAATCGAATGCTTTATTCTCGGCCTTGCCATTCCTGGCCATGTGGGCAATGTCCTATGTTTATGTTTTGATATCAGACGTACTACAACGTAAGAAGATTCTAACATTGTCGTTGATCAGAAAATGCATAAACAGCTGTGCATTTTGGATACCGGCAATTGGATTGATTGCCATTGGTTTCTTGGATGAAAATAAAAAGTCCTTGGCCATTGCATTAATGACGATATCTGTTGGTGTGAATAGTGGGGCCACAATTGGTAGTTCACTGAATACCATTGATTTGTCACCAAATCATGCGGGTATTCTGATGGGTATTGTCAATACCATTGCTAATTTTATGCCTCTGATTTCACCGTTGGTGGTGGGTGTAATTGTGACAGATTCGGTGAGTATATTTATTTATAAATTAATTTAGTTTGTAAATTAATTATATTTGTTTTATTTTATAGAGTAATCGTTCTCAATGGCAAATTGTGTTTGCCCTCTCTGCAATAATATTCTTTGTGGGAAATCTAATCTACATTATATGGGGCACGGCAGTTGCTCAACCATGGGATGCTGAAGATTTTCTTTTGCCCAAAGATGCAGAAACTTCAGCTAATGATGATACCTCAAAACCGCAAGCCATAGAGGATAGTAAAAATGACATAAATGAAGAGAAAACAAATTAATGTATATAAGTATAAGTAGTTGTAAGTTTGTACAAACAAATAATTTTATAATTTAATTGTAATACTAGAAATAAATATAAAGTTTACAAAAAATTAGTTATATGTGGGTCAAATAATTAAATTTAATACCATGTAGTACTTTTCATAATCATAAATAATAATATCAAAAATTCTTTCTATCCTACACTCTATCAGTAATCTTAATTCCACCAAAGTCTAGATTTTACCAAATTTAGTACATTTTGTACTCCTAAGTACGAATTTAAAAAATAACTACCTCAATCCTGCATTCAAATGGCAATCGTAAGTCCATTTCTTTATTTTTCGTACCCATATTCCAAAACCATCTCTTTCCTACACTCCGACAGTGGTCTTAGTTGCAGTTCTACACGATCACCAACGTTAAAATTGTACCAAATTTAGTATTTTTCGTACCAATAACTACGAATTTCCAAAAACTACCTCATTCACGCACTCCAATAATAATCTTAAATCCACATTTAAGGCTTCCAGCTCTATCCGTTTACCAACACCCAAAGTGTACCAAATTTAGTACCAGGATCCCAGCCATATCCGTTCACATAGATCTAAATTGTACAATATTTAGTACCATTACCGTATTTATACGTTCGAATTTCCATCACGACCTCAGTTATGTATACTATCAGTAATTTCATTTCATCCGTTCACTTAAATCTAAATTGTATCAACTAAGTACACATAATTACGAATTTTCAAAATTACCACAATATCTTAATCTTGCACTTACAACAATTCACACAAACCAGAATCTACCATATTTAGTACCATTTAGTTGCTTTCATATCCTTAAGTACAAAATTCCAATAATTAATTCCAATTTTCAGGTCTACCCGTTCACAAAAATTCAAATTGTACTAAATTTAGTAACATTTAGTACTTTTTGTACACATAAGTACGAATTTCCCAAACTATCCTCAATCCTACACTCCAACAGCCATTTTAATTCCCAATTTCAAGACTCCAGGTCTATCTTTTCATAAAAATCCAACATGTACCAAATAAAGTAATTTCCATACACATAAGACCGATTTTTTTTAAACCTACCTCAATATACATTTCAATTTTCAGAATTCCAGCTCAACCCGTTTGCCTAATACAAAGGATACCATATTTAGTACTATTCATACACTTTCTAGTTCGAATTTTCAAAAACTCTGTCCTATCTCACGCCTACATTAAAATTTCATGCTTCTAGCTTCAGCCGTTTTGTCTGGGCGATGATCTGTCTGTCACTCATTCACTTATCACTAAGCTCTTTTATATATTTTATCCGGGGTCAATGACCTTCAATCCGGATAAAGCCGTAATCCGGGGTCAATGACCTTTAATCCGGATTAAGCCTTTATCCTGGGCCAATGACCCTTAATCGGGGGGTTTACGCCCTAATCCGGGGTCAATGACCTAATTCGAGGTCAATGGCCCTTAATCCGGATTAAAAGGTCATTGACCCCGGATTAAGGCTTAATCTGGATTCAAGGTCATTGCCCCCGGATTAAGGCTTAATCCGGACTAAAGGTCATTAACCCCGGATTGAGGCTTAATCCGGATTAAGGTCATTGACCCCGGATTAAGGCTTAATCCGGATTAAGGTCATTGACCTCGGATAAAGGCTTAATCCGGATTAAGGTCATTGGCCCCGGATTAAGGCTTAATCCGGATTAAGGTCATTGACCCCGGATTAAGGCTTAATCCGGATTAAGGTCATTGACCTCGGATAAAGGCTTAATCCGGATTAAGGTCATTGGCCCCGGATTAATGCTTAATCCGGATTAAAGGTCATTGACCCCGGATTAAAGGTCATTGACCCCGGATTAAGGCTTAATCCGGATTAAGGTCATTGACCCCGGATTAAAGGTCATTGACCCCGGATTAAGGTCATTGACCCCGGATTAAAGGCCGTTGACCCCGGATTAAGGTCATTGTCCCCGGATTAAGGTCATTGCTTCTGGATTAAGGTTTAATCCGGATTAAATGTCATCGACCTCGGATTAAAGGTCATTGACCCCGGATTAAGGTCATCGACCCCGGATTAAGGTCATTGACCCCGGATTAAGGTCATTGACCCCGGATTAAGGTTTAATCCGGATTAAATGTCATCGACCCCGGATTAAAGGTCATTAACCCCGGATTAAAGGTCATTGACCCCGGATTAAGGCTTAATCCGGATTAAAGGCCATTGACCCCGATTAAAGCTTAATCCGTATTAAGGCTTAATCCGGATTAAAGGTCATTAACCCCGGATTAAAGGTCATTGACCCAGAATTGATGCTTAATCCGGATTAAAGGTCATTGACCCCGGATTAAAAATTAATCCGGATTAAAAAGTAATCCGGATTAAGGCTTAATCCGGATTAAAGGTCATTAACCCCGGATTAAAGGTCATTGACCCCGAAATAAGGGTCATTGACCGCGGATTAAGGCTTAATTCGGATTAAAGGTCATTGACCCCGGATTGAAGGTCATTGACCACGGATTAAGGCTTAATCCGGATTAGAGGTCATTGACCCCGGATTAAAGGTCATTGACCCCGGATTAAAGGTCATTGACGCTGGATTAAGGTTTAATACGGATTAAAGGTCGTTGACCCCGGATTAGGGTTTAATCCAGATTAAAGGTCATTGACCCCGGATTACTCATAGAATATATAAGGTCGTATATGAGGTCGTGTTGGAAATTCGAACATATAAGTACGAAAAGGTCTAAATGGTACTAAATATGGTACAATTTAGATCTAAATGAACGGATATGGGGTTCCTGACCTTTTTTTTTTTTTGAAAGTTACTGTTGGAGTGTAGAATTGAGGATTTTTAAGAGTCTATGAAAAGTAATAAATGGTAAATTTGCAACAATTTGGATTTGAGTAACGAAGAGAGCTGGGAACCGAAAATGTATTATTAACTGGTACTAAATTTAGTGAAATTAGAAGTACAATTGAAAATGTGTTATTATGTGTTCGTGCTGAAAAATATAATATTAAATGTATAATAATTTAATTTTCATAGGCCGCGAATTGCATTTTATTTCTCTCAAGTGGAGAAAAATTTTTATTGAATGTATAATAATTTAAATTTCATAGGTAACTAATTTTAAAATTCACATCATTCTTAATTAAAACATATGCATTTTATTTCACTCAATTTAAATTCTTACGGTGATTGTTTTGGATAAGTTTAGACAGCAACCTTATTGTAACCTTATCGGATAAGTTTTTCACTGCCTAGAATCCTTGTATAGCCATTATAAAATAATCAAGTCGATTTTGCAGAAATATATCATCATCATGACTTGTGACCTTGACATATAAAGCATTCAATATACCTATGTTTTTGTGGGCGTTAAGACTATACATGATTGATAAAACACTTCATAATATGCCACACTCCAAATTCCTCTTCATGGGGGGTAATGCCGATATTAAACATAAGATTTATAATTGATAAGTAAACCAAACAAAGCTACTAATACGAAAACTACCTTTAAGCTATATACTTCGTCTTATCACTGTTTTTTGTATTAACTTGGCTAAATCAAGACAAACAAAACCCGAAAAAAACATAAACATAAACAATTCGGCCAATAAATGCATTAGACAAACGGTAGACATTATCACTTTCAATTTAAAATTTATCACCGTAATTTGTGTTACTCGAGATAATAGTATAAATTTTCCCTTCGTCACAAATGTTTGTGGAACAAACCAAAATTACTATAAAACATTCGTACCGAACCATTTTCAAACGTTTATAGTCGGTCGTGTGGCTTGGACATTGGCAGAATTCGGTACGGTGGAAATGCAAAAAAACGGCGACAACGGAAATTTTTTGTTTTGTAATATAAATTAAATTAGCACAACAACAATCAACTTCAGTGCAAAAATATTATTGACAGAGTAAAAAATATAATGACGGTAGCCGAAGTTAATAAAGGTAATAAATAAATATGAGAGATAAAAATTAGCAGAATATAAATAAAAAAGTGAAAACGGTATTAAATTCGGGCGCCATAGAGGATATCCTTACGTATGGTCTAAATCAAAGTGGTTTTTCGAAATATTGTTTGATTCTCGCAGAATGGTTTAGCCAGATCCTTCTATGTTCATGAATGACCTTATAAAGTTTCAAGTGAAAATCTCAACAAAACGTACAGATATAGCCGATTAATTGTGATAGCATCAAGTGACAGCTGAAGTGGTTCTCAAACTTAAAAAGAGTTGCAAAGTTACAAACCTTAACAAGCATTGGTATTCATTTACTAGCCCATTGAAAATATTGAAAATTTAAAATCCATAATGGGGGTTCCTTTAACACTAGAAAGACTGGAATTTTGTATATACCTATATTGCCTAAAATCGGTCAAAATGACCTCATTCTGAAAGAATTTTTATTGTATAAAGAAATTGTTTTTAAGTTATTTTTTTATATTTTTTACATTATTTACAATCATACAAAACGTTGTTATTATTTGTTTTCGGTGGGAGGGCTCTCGAGTTTCCCTTTTTGAAAAATAAGAGCGCGGACAAAATGTTCGAAAAAGTGAAAGTGCTTACTCTAAGAGTGAAATCGACTGGAAATATAAAATTAATTTTTTTCCGATTTGTGTGTTCGTTTGTGTTTCTATAGTAGCAAACGGTTTTCGATGTTGTTGTAGTGATCTGGTAATATAACAATTTACTTTATACAATAATAATAGGGTCCATATACAGACATATTTGCAAGGATATTTTCCTAGTAATGAATTACCCATATTGGAAAAATTTGCCAAATCGTAATTTCTTGACACGTATGATCCAGCCATGTCGGTCCCCACGTCGGTTATAATCTTCCGAAGGAGTTGAGATAACATAAAGCGTGCACTTTTTCAATATATTTAAAGCCTGGATTTCAAGGCGTGGATTTTTAAAGCCTAGATTTCAAATCGTGTAATTTTTAAAGCCTGGATTTTAAGGCGTGGATTTTTAA